AATATAAAACAGGATCAATTAATCAATGATTTATTCTGCATTTCTGAATTAATGGCGGATTTTATTGTAATTTTATTGCTATGTAATTTTAATTGAATAATTTCTTAAATAGGCTGTGCACTAGACTATTTTTACCATACAGTCTCATGGTTATTATCAAAATTGGGAGGTGCTGGCTACAGATTACCCATAATGTCAAAAAAGACTCCATATTGTATATATCCCTTTGCCCCCCGCCCCGTGTTATTTATTATCTATCTTTTTTATTCCTGTATATATAAACTAGTATCCTTAATACTAGTAAACGTGAACCCGTGCCCCCATATGGAGCAATACGTTTATCACGGGTTCACTCAAGCATGAGATTTTCTTAAATATGTTACATAAAGACTATCTCATCACATTATGGGTAACCAAGTTATTATTATTAGCCATATTTGGGACTTAGATTTTTCTTATTCTTCTATGAATTGTTTAAGTAATAGAAGATTAATTATTATGTGTGATATCTAGATGCATAATAATTTATAGACCATGAGACAGTGATAAATAGATAAGGCCGTTTCCACCACATTTTAATTATCATATTTGTTCTAATTTTGAAATAAAGTTGGTAAAAACACGTATACATTGATGCAACGGGCACCCGCAAAATTTCTATCCAGTCCGCGCGACAAACTTGTCGAAATAGGTCAACACAAAAACTTGCAGAATTTTCAAGAAAATCGGATTGACCTCCTTATTCAGATAGAAGAAATTTTAGACCAATGAGAACAAAGGAGGCAATCCTCTCTAAACCAATCAAAATTAAACTTTATAAAGCGGGTGTTCGGTAGAACTTACAAAATTTACAAAATTTAAAACAAACTCTGCTAATTACAAACATGTAATTAATTATATGCATCCCAATGTATACGGTTTATAACATGTAAATAGAAACCAACATAAACAACAGTCAGCCCACATTGAATTGGTCAGAATTACGTTCCTGACATGCCTTCTCGCACATTAGATGCGAAATCTACAATTTATAGGTAAATTTTCTAAAAACTTTTTAGTTATATAAATAAATATTAGTCCTGTTATAAAAGACGGTACTCTATATAAACGTCTTGGCCGATTTTAAATCAAGTGCTTTAATTAATAAATTTTAGATTTCTCAAACTTAGTATGGACTTCCCCATCTTCCTCCCATGGCAAAGGTTGTACGTAGAGACAAACCCTGTCATGGGGGATATGGTATGCACATAAACACATGTACGGATATAATAACAAGTATAATAAACATCAGATCCCCAATTTTTTTAATGATTATAAATGAAGTATATGCTCGCCCATATGGTCTCTTTCCGGTGGCGAGGGTAAACAAACGCAAACACACACACACACACACACACACACACACACACACACACACACACAATGGCGGATTTCTTTTTTTTTCTTTAAATTCACAAGACAGACATGCGGATTGAATTTTACTTGCTCACGGAAAGCAATGGAATTTAATCAAGTAAAATGTGCTGATATCTCGGAAGTAATCAAGCAAACAAGATTTTTAGAAAATCGTTTCCGTGACTGAGATTTGCTTTTAGTTGTTCTTCTTATTTTTCTTCCTTTTTTCTTATTCCTTTTTTTTTGCTTTTTTTTATTTTCTTTATTTTTTTATTAATTAATTTATTTATTTATGTCGATTGATAGATTGATTGATTGATTGATTGATTGATTCATTCATTCATTCATTCATTCATTTATACATTCATTAATTCATTTTTTCATTCATTCTCATCAAAATCTACGATATCATCATCGTCACAACATCACATTATCACCAACACACCGTCAACAGCATCATCATCATCATCATCATCATCATCATCATTATCACCACCACCACCATCATCATCATCATCAATATTTAAAAATTACTGGTTTTTTTTTATTATCATCTAGTTGAAACTTCAAAATGGATTTAAAACATTGCTAGTTATTGACATCATGTGAATATCTGTGTTAATAACTGGTTTCAAACGATACAGAGTAAGCGTACTGTTCTGATGCGAACGAAACATAAAACTCCATTTCAATAACTTTGAAACAAAAATTATTGCTAAATTAATGAATTTTCTCAGAAAACATTTGAATTACAGTCAAATAAAAGACAGAGAAAAGTACTATATTACACTAATTCATCAATTTAATTTAATCATACTTTTCGTCTCTGAAACATCTGTGTAAATCAAGAGTTAATTATCTCTGTCACTCACAGATCAATATACATCAGTACATTTACTCATTGCCTTTGTTTAAACAACTTGCAGTAATGTTTTTCCATTTCTGATCAAAGAAATGGAAGCAAAAAATTGTTTGTGTTGTTGTTGTTGATGTTGTTGGTATTGTCATTGTGGTTGATGTTGTTGTTGATGTTGCTGATGCTGTTGTTTTCTTGTTGTTGTTGTTTTTGTTGTTGTTTAGAAGGGGTTAATGTGCAAGAAAGTCAAACAGGTGGTTCGATTAAACGAGATTGCAGATTTGCAGAACGAGCAGTGTAATATCAAATACGTGCTGAGGACCTAAAGGCGAAGCGACTCATTGATAAGGTAATATAATTGTGACCTGCGAAAAAGAATTCCTGAGTCCAATTCAAATATAAATGTTGCTGTTGTTCTTTGTTTTTTGTTGTTTTACTGTTGTTTTTTGGTTTATTTATTTATTAACTTATTTATCAATTAATTAATTAATTAATTAATTAATTAATTAATTAATTAATTTATTTATTTATTTATTTATTTATTTATTTATTTATTTATTTATTTATTAATGGTTTTCTTTTTCGTTTTACCTTATAATCTATGGGACTCGACAGCATAGTTCAATAGATATGATGTTTAGTTCGATACTCCAAGACCTCAATTTGGTTGTCTGCAGTATGTTTAAACTAAACGTCCACTACTGCTTCAGAAGGCTTTTAAACGTGTGTATGATAACATAACTACTTGCAGAATAGAATAAAATAGAATAGAATATAACAGAACAGAACAGAACAGAATATAATAGAATAGAATCCCGAATAGAATACAATCCTGAATAGAATAATCAAAGGGCTGCAAGCTATGTGGTATTTTCTGATCTTTGCAATGTTAATAGTACTGTATATCTGTATGTATTTTCCTATTATAAGTTTATTCTTATATACTATAATTCGCCTTACAGGGCACCGAGATGCAGCGACTGCGTTTGGATTTTTTTACTATAACAGTTTGAGTTTGATACATGCGATATTTTGCATAACTAGAGATGCATCAAAAATCATTTATGTTCATTTTTTATGACAGCCACACTTTATCCTTTTATCCTTGCATATCGTGGCTAAGGTGTTACTTCCTTAAAAAGACATTAAAAAAAAAACATTGCCACGACTGGGATTTGAACTCCAGACCTCTCACACCCTAACCAAGCGCGTTATCCCTGCACCATGGAGAAGTTTAACGGAAACAGTATGAATAAAATCAAATTATTCTTATTTAAGAATATCCATACAGGGTTTGTAATCCTTATTAATTTCGAGGTATTTTGTTCACTATATACATGTTGTTAACACGGATGTAAATAATTTAGAGAAAATCAGTCCTACACTATATATTCCACTACTTGACAGTCAGATTTATTTGTGTAATGCGCTCTAAGGTAGTCGGTAATCGACATCGCTAAAAATAGCATTTTAATTGATTAAAATCATAAACTTCCGCGTGCATTTATTGACAATTTTATACGCCAACGCTACTTTTAAACTTTGAATGCGTTGTAATTTGTTTGATACTTTTAACAAAATAAAAATATTTCTTTCTTTTACGCCGCTAATTTTAAGCTGTTTTGAGAACTACTTGTTGTAAGGTTTGTCCTGAAATTTCTGTGTCAGAGATTGAATGTCAGCTTTGTATTTCCTGATCTGCGATCCGAAAATACAGAAATAGAACAGAACAGAACAGCATAGAATAGGTTAGAATGGAACAGAACATAATAGAATATAATAGAATAGAACATAATAGAATAGAATAGAACAAAACATAATAGAATAGGATAGAATTGAATAGAATAGAACAGAACAGAATATAATATAATAGAATAGAACATGATAGAATAGAATAGAACAGAATAGAATAGAACAGAATAGAATAGAACAGAACAGAACAGAACAGAATAGAATAGAACAGAATAGAACAGAATAGAATAGAACAGAATAGAATATAACAGAACAGAATAGAATAGAACAGAATAGAATAGAAATTGGACTCTTGGAGCTCGGTACACATTTTAGATACCTATTTGTGCATGCATTTTTACTGTTGTTATTGAGGCTATTGATTTATACAGAGGGCCGCTTTGTAGAGGCTGCGTTGTAATTATCGGAGAATACTTATTATAATTATTTAAAGAAATGATTTTCAAAATGATTTTTGAAACAGTTTTTTCTCACCACTGGTTCAATAACTATATTGTGTTAAAAATTTTGCGGAATACTTCACTTTTCAGAGGATGATTCCCATGTCCATTTTTTTTAATTTATTTATTTATTTATCTAATTATTTATTTGTTTGGCAGATTTTATAGTATTTGTTGCCATATTACTACCCTTGACTAACACAGATAGGACTATTAATGTTATGCATATTTTGACCTCTTTATGGTAATTTCCGTGGATTTTAAGTGCCGATAGTAGTGTATAAATCACTTTCTTCGTTCACTTCACAATATTTTACTTTTATATATATTTTCACAATTTCCATGATTATCCGTATTAATCTGGAGGCATGCTGCTTCAAAAGAACATAAAATATGAAGCAATTCAGCGAAGATGCTCAAATTTCACTTATACTACAAGCATATGAAAATATTAAAAATAATAAACAATGAGGTACAATTATATATTCACGGCAAAAGAATAGGTACACCCAATAAATAAAATATCAGAAAAATAATGATAATATAAGAAATCTTACCGCTTAGAAAATATAATATTCCGACGACTCGGTGTTCCGCCATGGAAAAATCTCCGCCGGCTGGTGAACTCATTTTTTCAGCGTTCTATGTCTTGAATGCAGACGCCAATTTTCTTGCAAACTTTTTTGTATTAATACGAAACTGGTACGAAACTTTATGAAACTAATAATTGTATGACTATTCACCAAAGAAGCACTGCTTATATTGAGAGGACGGTTAATGGTATAAATGTATATATAGAGCTTACAGCAGACGACTCGTTATTGACTAACTATATTGATTGAGGCCTCCCTGTTATGGTAAAGGCGTTACACTTAAGGTAAGTGACATGCCATTATTTGATCCCCCTTGGTAATTTTCTCTCAGGTGTAATTCATTAAAAGAACATATGTCCCTTTCTTTTCTATAACCACTGTAAAAAACATTGTTTTGTTCGTTTATTTCCAACTTTTCGCATTTTTTAGCAGAACATGAAATTCAACAGGGAATAACTTAAATAAGTTAACTGATTGATCTAATGTATACAAAAGTTATAAATTTGTTGTCAGTGTTCCAAAATATTTATCAAATATTATATATCAAAAATAGTAAATGATCTAACGATAAGAAGAAAAACGTTGCCAATTATTTTTCGTTAAATACATTTGGTACGACATTATACTAACCGCATTTTATCTTTTTCCTTAATTAGTTTAAATTAACTAGACCTTCAGAAAGAATTTATTTTATACATTTCTTATTTGTTGTTGTTTATGTATAAATAATAATTATAAATTTGTTGGTATTGTTGTTTGTGTGTTGGGATGTTTTTTGTTTTTGTTTTTAATTTTTCAGCAACATAGGTTGCCCATTTATTTTCCCCGTAATTGGTGCAGTGGGGTCGGAGAGCCATCGTGTGTTGGGATGTTTTGTTAATGTTGCTGCTGGGGTGTTCCTGGTGTTGATTTTGTCTAGGTTATGTATGTGCATGTGAATAAAACGTTTTTACAATACTTGATTGTATTTGATAAGAAACATATGAATTTAACTTTTGAGAAAGGGTGTACAAATAAACTTGTGTTAATAATAGCATTGAATAAAATGTGTAAAAATGAAAAACACGCGAATGTATAAATCATTTAAATTCATTCTGATATCAATGCGTCTTTTTCATTAAATTCTAAAGAAAACAGAAATAAACATAAAATATATTTCATGATTTATTGTGATTTTTATGCAAACTTAAAATTATGCACAGTATCTTAAAACAGAATGAGTTTGTTTAAAATGTATGATGGTTTGCATCGATTTTACGTGTGTTATTTCTCTTGATTATTGAAAAGTTGTCTCCCTTTACATCGTTTTGTCTAATTATCGGCCAATAATGAAAATCAATATTCGTAACTTAACGGCACTTTCCGATGATCTCGCCGAACCGGTCAGAATGTGTTATTTAGACAGGTATTTATATTACATAATTTTTCTCTGTAGATTTTTTAAAACATTTCTTATTCGTGGGATTTTATCTTATCCCTATGGTGGCTGATTTACGCCATGCCGTTTTTTCGCTTCTTCGCTTCAAAATGCGAAAATGAAAAAACACGAAGGGACTTTTCGCTTTTCGCATTTTCGAGGCAACAAAGCGAAAAAACGACATGGCGTAAATAAGCCACCATATATCTCCCTTCTTCATACATGTACAGGAGTGTTTTATCAATTTCACAATTTAAAATGTAGAAAAAGTTCAGATATATTAAAAAGAATATATATTATTTACATGACATGAAACATATTTTAAACATCATATTACACAAGTATGATACGATACGATGTTAAAAGTCACATAGCAACGAAATTGAGAATGTGAGAGTATTAGTTACTTTTTTTCCCCAATATTTCTTTTTCGCACTTCAAATTCAAATGATGGTGTTATGTTATCGACGTATGTATCTACTGTTAAAGTCTCTGTAATACCTTTGACATTAAATGATTAATATCCTTTGCAGATATCTGTGCATTAGGCGCACTCCAGGTCGTCGTCGTCGTCGTCATCATCATTATCATCATCATCATCATCATCATCATCAACAACAACGACAACAACAATAACAACGACAGGAGATAGAAACGTTTGTGTAGTGAAAATTAATAACAACAACAACAACTTCATGATCCCTATCATCATCATCATCATCACCATTAACAGCAACAACATGAAAAATCAGCAGCAACCACTAGCTCATCATCATAAAAACAACAATGTCATCATCATCATCATCATCACCACCACCACCAACAACAACACAAACTTTATCAACATTATCGTAGTATTACTGCGACTGTTGTGTCACTGTTATGCAACAGCTACCTTTGATGATAATGTTGTTGTTGTTGATTTGTTATGTTGTTACACCGACACAGTTAGATCATAAATTGATGTTACAGATTTACTGATGTAGGAAGACCTCAGATGCCCGTCCGTGCATTTTTTCAGGCACGAGCGAGAACTCGATAAGAATCACCATGTTGCTGTTACTGTTTTTGTTGATGACGTTGTTGTTGATGATGATGATGACGATGAAGATGAAGAAGGAGAAGAAGAAGAAGCTGATGATGATGATGTTGTTGTTATTGATGATAATGATGATGATGATAATGTTGTAGTTGATGATGGTGATGATGATGATGATGATGTTGTTGATGATGATGATGTTGATGATGATGATGTTGTTGTTGATGATGATGATGATGATGATGATGACGTTGTTGTTGATGATGATGGTGGTGAGATGAAAATGAAGAAGAAGAAGAAGAAGAAGAAGAAGATGAAGAAGAAGAAGAAGATGATGATGATGATGGTGGTGTTGATGATGATGACTATGATGATGATGATTTTGGTTTACCTTTAAAAAAAATTATCTTTACGCAATAAACAACCACTAAAATTCAAATCTCATTAGTTGTGTGATACGTACATAAAGTAAAAGACCATAAAAATGTATTTCATCTGGAACAAAAAAATATTGCCCCAGATTTCATATGTCACACAATGATACGTGATATTGCAATTTTACTACAGTTTTAAGCCTTCCTAATTAAATATTACTGATTGAGTCAGCATATTCTATGTGTCTTGATTTCCAAGGTAACGCCTTGATGAGGGGATAATAAAATATCTAATCCTATTAGAAATAATGAAACAAGGTTCGTAATAACCCGATTAAGAAATTAGAAAGAAGTATGTAGCTAAGTACATAGCATTAATTAACAGTAATTAAATATTCTTCCACTTTTTCCCCCCAACAAAACCGTTTCCAAGATATTTTATTTCATGAAACATATCTGATAACTTGTCACTGGATATGTCACGTGACTTGAAATACAAGTGCATTTGCTAATGCTGCACTAATTAGTTTTAACCGCAATCATACTCAACTGTATGCACGCCATCTGCAGCATAATTATATACATGTACCTTACCACCGATCGTAAAATGTACACGCTTTATAAATAAAGCGTCTTAATGCAGAGGCTTAATTGATTCATAATAAAGTTGAAATTGTTGGTAAAATTCCACTGAGCTCATAAGAAATTCCACTCAACATACATTCGTGACAAATCGTAACATTACGTATGTAATATATATTTAACTATTCTTTACCATTCGCCATTCTCCCTCTCTTATATACATATACCATGCATGTTATATGTTACCAGATTATCAACTATCGTCATGAAGCTAGCGACAAAGTGCGTCAATAATACACGAGAGAATTATTGTATTTCTATGTATTATTTGAAAATCTGGCAGCCATCTTGGACGCCATTTAATCGAATGACACTCCTTTTTCACATTTCGTAACCAAAGTGTGAGACAAACCCCGACGCCGACGCCAGTGTGTGTACAATATACACGTAGCCCTCCCTTTTCTGCGAACAGTTAGGGGCCTCCGTGGCCGAGTGGTTAAAGTCGTTGACTTGAGATCACAGGTCCCTCACCACTGTAGGTTCGATCCTCACTCGGGTCGAAATCTTTCATGTGAGGAAGCCATCCAGCTGGCTTACGGAAGGTCGGTGGTTCTACCCAGGTGCCCGCTCGTGCCTGAAATAATGCCCGGAGGGGCACCTGGGGTCTTCCTCCACCAATAAAGCTGGAAAAAAATCGACGAAAAATCTCGGCGGGACGCTCTAGGATGACCCGACTTGAGTGTACGGTCGCCCATATGGGCTTTCCGGCGGCGACCTTAAATAAACGCATAAAAAAAAAAAAAAAAAATCTGCGAACAGTCACGCTATTAACAGGGAAGAAATAGATTCATTCCATTCCCGGACTATTCTATAAATGTGCTAAATTAGAATGCGATCTAAGTTATTTTTTAAACAACATTTCAATTTTGTAAATTTTAATAATTTATAACATAAAGTTAGTAATAATTACTAGTATAAATTTGTTAGAGTTCACACAGAAAATGCTGCCCAAAGAATGGTCGTCGTCTGATGCACCCAAATACACATAGGTAGGACTAAAATATACTTGTTATATCAATGTTTATCACATATAATAGCAACAGAAGTTAAAAATACAGTCAAATGCATTTATATGCACGAAAGATGTAAAATGCACTTACAATATAAAAGTGTACTCATTGAGACAGTCAAGTAAATTTGAAAATACAAAGGTTTTGGTTAAGTTCAGTTCAGTTCAGTTTGTGGTAACAGTAATGAACGCTGTATATACATGTACATGATAGTTCCTGATAATGTTTCGGCCTTATTACGCTTATTTCGTATAATTATTCGAAATTTCTATAAGTAATAATAATTTGAGCCGCGTCATGACAAAACCAACGTAATGGGTTTGCGACCAGCCCAGGATCCATGCTGTTCGTTATCAGTTTCTCTACTTGTAATTGCGTTTGTAAGCGAACAGCATGGATCCTGATCAGACTGCGCGGATGCGCAGGCTGGTCTGGATCCATGCTGGTCGCAAACCCATTATGTTGGTTTTGCCATAGCGCGGCTCATATTTAGAAAATGTCAATTTAATGGTCATATTTCTATAAATAGATATTTACGACAGCTACAAGATATTGGTGTCTTATTTTATTTCATATGTTCACACTTTTCGAGTAAATGTCTCTCACTTGCCAGTTAATTAATCAATTCTCCATTGCTTAAAGAAATCGTTGCCTTTATCGTCAATAACTAGAAATGCAGGGAGGTTCTCTACCTCGACTTTATAAATTGCTTCCATACCTGAAAAAAGGAATGAAACAATAATTATCAGCGTCAACGATAGATAATTTAGGTTGTTCTAAGATTTTTCTGTAGGTATTTGCTTTTCCCTTTCACAATACGCATTTACAGTGCAACCTCTACTTAGCAAAGCGATCTGAGAGACAAAAATAAAAATATCTGTTGTTGGCAAGAGACATACTGTCTTTTGTTAGGAGGTTGTTGCTGAGGGCAGAGGGCCGCTCTACAAAGGTTGTTATATAGTATACATGTATAGTGATAGCTTTCTATAATGTAGCATGCCTCCAGATTACCTATAATGTATTTGTGAAATTTTAAAAAGTTCAGAAAAAATATTGCCGTGTGTACAGATAATGTGATTTATAGCTAACCTAAGACAATTAAAATTATTTTCTTAATATACATAAACAAATGTAGGTGTGGATGAAACCGCAATTATCCTTTCTCCGATAGAAACGGCAGACAACAGGGAAATTCAGACAAATTTTGACTAGAATATGCAATAGGCCTCATTGACTGTCAATAATTATACACGGCTGTTAACTTTTCAAATTTTTGATAGTTTTGTTTTGGCTAATTTAGTTTTTTTCAGTGTTTTATGCAGATCTAATAAGCGTCAAAATGACAAAGAATATCAAAAGTTTTCGTCATGGTCAACAAACCACTTAACAGATGAAGAACAGTGACGAAGCTGCTCCAATTGGAATGAGCTATCGAATGACAGAGCATGTTATAGGATTAGCACATGCAATGAATCTAATGGAGTAAATAAAATGCGTGCATAATATGGGGCAAATTGTGCACATCTTGCGTAAAGTATACATTTTGACATGGAAAATGATTCTTCTAGAACTTAGCGGCCATCTTTGATTTTTACAAGCGGCTTCCCAGGCTAATTAAATGAATAACATCAGTCTCTAAGCATAACTAAGCCATTCATTAAAGGGATTTGAAATAACTCGGCACAAATGTTTGTTATTGTAATAAGACGATGTGACACGCGCAACACCCAGACCTACCTCCAAGGTCAATGTCACAGCTGGTAGCCAAAGCTTAACATTATATGTTATAGGGTATATTTTGTGTCCGGTCCATAACTTTTTCGTTTATCAAGGGATTCTGTTATAACTCGGCAGAAATGTTTACAATGCACAACACATGCTTAACACCTGGATCCTTCAAAGTCAAGGTCATATTTTGAGGTCAAAGTCTCACATGGTATGTCACTGGGTATGAGACCAAGTCAGGCCAAAGTACATAAAATGTCACTGATAAGCGCCCACATACATTAATCGATGAAAAATGTATGGACCGGGCACAAAATACACCCTGTAACAGACAATAAATTTTGTATTTGTCACATTTTGTGAAGTTGAAATGTTGAAAACTACTGTACAAATGTATTTCTATTGACACATACACAGGAGTTATTTCATTCCATTTCTTTATTTGATTCTATTGTTCCATGTGCAGATCTAGCATTGATACTGAAAGTCCAGATACATACCGAAATCTTTTGAAGTTGCGCAATTTTGTGCTTCATGTTAAACTTAGGCGATGGACGTTGGTAACTTTGTTTCAAATTCTTGTTGCTAACGGCAATATAAATTACATTTATGCTTTCATTAATATGAAACTAATTTTAATTCAAATATTTTCATGACATTGATTGCATAAGTATTGAACGATAACGCCATTGTGTTAAACTTTTTTTACGACTTTCATGAATTGTCATACTGATTGTTTTGTCACCAATTAATCGATTTGGCAACAACATAATGTTAGTCCGTGAAAAAACGAAAAATGCTGTCAATAATTTATGCCTATGGTCTGTCAAATATTTACACACCACTTCAACAAAAGAACAGATAGGTAGTCTTGTAGAGAACTACATACTAATAAGCTAAGCCTAATGAAAAAGGCAATAAAAATAATATTGGAAAAAGTTGCATATTTTCAATCAAGAAGGCACACTCGTTTTCCGCCTACTAAAATACGTGCCTTGTACGTCCATCCGCCAAACCAGACGTACACCATTCATACACATGTAGATTTCATAGAACATATTCTACATCGCGTTAAAAACTTACCAAGTTCGGGATATTCTAACAATTCTATAGATTTGAAGCATTCCTGTGCTATAGTTCCTGCAATACCCCCGATAGAAGCCAAATAGAATCCTCCATTCTTCTTACATGCCTCTACGACCTATAAATAAAGAGGTAAAAATTAAAATTTTGAAAAAGTTATTTCGGAAATGTCAATGATCGGTAATGTCCGTATAAAGTCGACAATTTCCGTGTAATTCCGGCAGTATTCGAGGAATTAATGCAATGTTCGTGCAATATCGTTTTCTTATTTAATTGGCTATAGTTCGCTGTATAAACTGACTTTATAACAAAATTAAACAAAAAAAACAGGTCAATAAATCCATTCATTGAGTGGATTTTTTTTTGTCATCATTGAAAATGTACATATTATAGCTTTCGAAAATTTAACTTGTGTAAAATATTTCATTATGATCAGATAATTTGACTAGTGTAAGAGTTAAAACGCTAAATGGACTTTACAACTTTGTTGGCAGTACTATGCAAACACCATTCTGTGCAAAGGTAGCCATCCCTCTGCTGTTGGGCATCATTTGGCACTGTGGTAACATTAACGCACTTCCGTGAAACAGTCAAGTATAAAATATTACGCCTCTGTCAGGTATCGAGGTCAGATATTAAATATTAACCACAAGCAGCTTATGTTTCTTACCGAATAAATAAGTATCGGAGTATCGACCTTGACCTGATATCATTCTTAAAACATCATGTAAAGTATATTTACAAGTTTATTCAGATTTGTGTAATATAATTTTCATGCTAGACCTGTTTGCTCCTGTTTCCTTTCGCAATCATCACCATACTTCCGCCGGCCCGCTGAAACTCGTCAACATATGGATCCATTCTACCTCCCGTTGTTGGTCCGATAGATCCCGTCGCAAAACCCTATTCATTTATAAATACAAGATCTTTTCTGCCGCGCAATGACAAAACCAACATAAGGGGTTTGCGACTAGCATGGATCCAGACCAGCGTGCGCATCCGCGCAGGCTGATCAGGATCCATGCTGTTCGCTATCAGTTTCTCTACTTGTAATAGAGTTGGTAAGCGAACAGCATGGACCCTGATCAGACTGCGCGGATACGCAAGCTGGTCAGTATCCATGCTGTCCGCAAACCCATTATGTTGGTTTTGTCATGACGCGGCTCATTTTCAAAATTGTACTTTTCCAAGATATTTTTCTTATTAACTTCAGCGCTAAGGTTGCAATAATTATATGGTTTACAATACCAAGGATTTTATGTTCTTAAAATATAATTGGAGGCTGAACCGGAGATTGTTTTGATTAATCTTAATATTTATATATGAAAAAGTACTTGGAACAAATTACTGAATTAGAAAAAGTACTGGAACAAATTACTGAATTATTTTTATACAAAAATACACTCATATGGTTTATATGAAATTGTATATCGTTTATATGAAGTTGTATATCGTTTATAAATATTAAATTGTGTTCCGTTTATATAAAAATAGTACGAAAATATCACAAACCTTTATTGTTCTCTGACACTCAGAAGAAAGACATTTATTCCAAACGTACTCTATGCTCAGTCTTAGTCTTAATTTGACTTACTGATATCTGCACTTAAAACTTTTTTATCGCCATCGTCATCATCATCGTCGTCAACACCATGATAATTCCATCGTTGTTGCAGAAAAAGATCATTATCTTTTATTTTGATTAATCAAAACTTGTTGTTGTTGTAGATGATGATGATGATGTTTTTGTTGATGATGATGATGATGATGATGATGAATACGACGATATGAAAGAAGAAGATGATGAAGACGACGTACCTCTGGAGTTTTTGAAGGTCCAGCGTATATCACAGGATGCTTCTTAAAATATTCCGGAAGTGGAGAACCGGAATCTAGCCTCTCTTTCAACTTGGCATGCGCAATGTCACGAGCGACAATTAACGTTCCTGTTAAATTTACACGAGACTGTACCTTAAGTTTATTTAGCTCGGAAAGCACATCTGACATTGGTTTGTTCAAGTTTATCTGTAAAATAATGAAGCGTCAATAATGTGTATTTTCCATGCGTTAATGTTGGCACATTTTATCTATTAAACTCATATAATATAAATCAACAAAGATTAAGCAAAATTTAGACATTTGACCTTGCATGTCAAGATCATTTATAAATGAAGGTCAAGTTTAGTCCTGGTTACTTGAAGGGTTGTTGTGGCCTAGTATGAAGACAACACACTAAGGACTTAAAACGCTATGATCAACATTAAAGTTTGGGGAACGCAAGAGGAAAGCCGACATGATTGTAACAATACCTCTTTTCTACCTAAAATGGTCTCGTTTTTTAATAGTTGTTATTACTTTGTTTGTTTTCGTGTGTAAGTCAAGTAAAACCTCTAGACTCAATCATCTTAATAAATTAGGTTTCAGCCAATATTACATTTATTACAAAATACCTTTTTTTAACTAGCAAGCGAAAAAATCATATTTTTCTTTGACTTACATTACACACTGAATGAAATCAAATATCATTATATTTTCTCGCATAAATCTGATTACTTTATTGTAATTAGTCTGCTATCATTTTATATGTATAAGATCTGATTTTTATTTAATTAAACACGAAATATTACCTGCGCTACACCATCACTGAGAGAATCATTTCCAATTTCAGGCAGAAACTGGGCTGGGTTAATTTCCAATTGCTCCAGAAAAACGCCGTCTTCAGTAATAGAGCCTAAAATCTGAAATTAAAATGATTTACATGAAACCGAAGTGAAATTAGAGCCAAGTGTTTATGCTTCATCCACTTGAAATGGCGGTAGATTTCTATAAATTAATTCCTTGGCGCAAAAATGCCGTAAAATGAGTGATATAAACAAGATTTCCACCTAATGACTTTTGGTATCCAGAGTGTCACGCGCCGGAAACAGTCTAAATCTATAAAATGCATTTACGAACAATCTGTTACTAATACATGTAATATAAATCTGTAAACTCGTAGCTTGCTGATAAGCCTTTGCTCAAGCCAGCCTGTGGTGTGCAGTCTGACCAGGCTCTTTATTAGTGTTTGGTAGCTCAATTTTTGTGTTCAAACATTGAAATCCCTTCAACTTGAAATAAGAGTGTTTCAATGTTTAAAGCTGGATAAAAACATCAAACAAATTAAGCAGGTTAATGGAAAAACTTCAGTCTAATTAATTAACAAGTTATCATCTTAAAATACCCTGTATGTTGTAATTAAGGAGGCAACAACACTTAAGTGAAATTTTATATACATTAATATGATTATTCATCTCAAACAATTTTCAAACATCCCAGAATATTTTTAATATGTACTGCAAATGTTTATCCGCATTATAAATAATCATTAAAATATATATGCATTCATTTCTAACTGAACAATTTAGTGTTGACTTAATCAAAAATAAATTTCTAATTACCTCCCTTTACTTACATGAAATGTAAATTCGGTAATATCTTTACAAAAAATGCTTTTTGGAACTTACAATATTGATAAATCTTCATGACAACATATTTAAGATATAAAACCATAAAAAAGATTCATTTACAGTATCTTTTACATTATCAATAGATGGTAAATCTCTATAAAATAAAGGGAGCGTGTGCACAGTGGATAATGTCAGTTGAAGGCCCATTAGGCCTTAGAAATGACATCGACGGATATCCTCGGCCGAACTATTAACATTGATTACATATTGTGTTACATGTTAATCAACCTTGGGTATCCGACGATGCAGAAATGAAAGGGCAATCATGTTTTTTAAAACATTCAAGTAATGAAGAAATTAGCGCTAAATGTAAGTTTAAGGGATTTATATTTCTTTAGCGTAATGGGCCCTTAAGATGTATACAACATCGCAATGTGGGCTGCTGAGAAACAAATTTACATATTTAAAATATGTTATATTTCACACTATGTGTGAATATTGATTTAATCACATAGATCTACCTGTCTATCAGCTGAACAAGACACACCTATCCCAACCGGACATGACGCACCATGACGTGGCAAGCGTATCACTCTGACGTCATGGCAGAAATATTTCCCGCCAAATTGTGCTCCGATACCGGTTCTTTGAGATATTTTCAGTATTTCCTGTTCCGCATCCATGTCTCTAAACGCTCGCCCATGTTCATTTCCTTGTAGAAAATATAAAGTGTTAAACTTATACCGATTTGTTTTCAATGAAAGGAAAATATATTATGTCTTCATATTATGATATACAGATGTAGGCATAGCTTTGTTAAAAATCACATTTAAATAAAATTCTATGGGGCTATGCGTGGGTACATACCTTCACTCCAGTGTTTTTTTTTGCCATGGATTGCCGTGGTACATTTTGGAGTGTATTAATTAAGTATAAAAATGCGTACATATTTTGAGAGAACTGTTGGACGTTCAGGTACATGTAGACAAGTTTATTTTACTTTAAAAAGTTTATTAATTTGTTTTATACTGTGAAGGAAAGCTAAACAAAATATTAAGTATATATTTTCAAGACTTCAACAAGGGGGTAAAAGGTCACTGACTTTACGTCTCTTATTCTTCAACGTTACAAGTTTGAATTCGACAATAGACCTTTTACTTTTTACATATTACCAAGCTATCAAGCCAGATTATGGAAACCAATTTGTTTTATTTAGTCCTGTTCTTGCCTGAGTATCCCTCCACCAGTAAAGTTGTACAGTCACCGTATAAAGCACATGTCTCCAGATTCATGCTACTTTTCATGAGAATTTTGAAAATGTATTTAAAAGTAAAATATTGTAAAGTAGCCAAAATAAAACAATTTAGACATTACAAACAGCAATAACAAATCAAGTAAATTATCAAAATGAGGTCTAATTTTAGTAACGCAGTACAATAATGAAAAAAAAGTTACTCTGTAGAAATATGGATTAAAAATTGTGAAAATCAATCATTAATCGCCCATAACAAGTTTATTATTACTTAAATCTTATACCGTTTTACTTTCCCCCAAATCATTATTTCTTACTCTATTTTACTCAGGTTTGATTTTATTGTAATATTTTGCCTCGTCTGGACGCATGGTGAAGCAATAAACCTCAAAGTATTGACGTGGCACACGTCTGAAAATTGCGTCTAAAAAATAAATAAAGAAAACATCATACGTTTTTAGTTACTTAATACCTAGGCATTATATTTTAATAAATAAAAAGATATACAAATGTCATGTTGGTATATTTACCAGTGGTTGGTAGTGTATCCAAATATCTACAAGTTGCTAGTTTGACAGTTTTTAGGTTGAACTCTGCTGAAGTCCCACCTATCACCACAGCAAGATGGTACGGCGGACATGCTTGTGTCCCTAATGTCTGGAAGAAATACATATTAACAAAATTCAATATAAGATAATAATTGTCTTTGTTTGTATGTTTGGTGAGATTTAAAACCACGCCGACACCGCAAAATGGTGACTTTCCTGCGTGGCTGCCAATTCAGGCTGCGAGGCTACCAAATCATGCTGCGTGGCTGCCAACTTCAGGCTGCTCGACTGTTAGTCTGCCAAGTTCAGGCTACTAGGCCATCAGCCATCTTCACGAACATTGTCTTCGATGGAGGAATACCACAGTTGCCCTTCATGCATTGTTATTTCAGGCACGAGCGGGCACCTGAGTAAAACCACCGACCTTCAGTCAGCTAGCTGGATAGCGTCCTCACATGAAAAAAATCAAAGTTCCTGAATGGGTTCGAAATTTCGATCCTGAATAGGTTCGAAATTTCGATCAAGATATAATTCCATAAAGTTGTTTATACGAAAAAAAGTAAATGTACTTTCTTACACTGTACTTTATATGTAAATAATTATTAACATTGTACTTTTTTCAATTTTGAAATACTATAACAAAAAAAGCCAGTACACTTACGTTTTAGTTTGTATGAAATATACACTTATTGTATATGTAATACGTACACTATTTAAACAATGGCAAATTTGAAACATATTTAAGACTTCTTTTCTTTGCACTGGTATATATTAATTTATTTTTAATGGCGACACGTATGCGTAGAAAGTTCAGAAAAAATATAATAAGAAACACTTTAGAAATAAAACTGATATAATTTATCTCTTTTAAAAAGTGGGATCACATTTCATAAAGCTGTTTATAGATAAACTTGTAAAATATTGAAATTTCAAACCACGAAATGTTATTAAATCATGTGTTTATGGAAGAAAATATCTTAACTATCGTTCTATTCTTCCACAAATCATTTCAAGTATGGTTTTCATAGAAAAAAGTTACTGCTGTAAATTTGATTTGATAAATAAAAGCACGTTTTTAAATTAATAAATTTCAGTATTTCTGAGAAATTACTCAACTGAACGTAGGCGCTAATGATTTTTACTTATTAAGTGATTTGGTATTCCTACACCACTACAGAAAACAAACGTCAAATGGTATTTCTTATTTCTTATAGTAAAGTACATTGTACACATACGGGATTGAAGATTATGTTTATTTGCAGCAATGCTTTGGGATCATAGAGATGTTGATAACTCGATGACCGAATACAGAAAAGTCACAATATATAAACAAAATCGTAACATCCTCGGCTGTTATTCATAATAACCGTCCTTATCCGAAGACTGACGGAAAGGGCCGAAAAGTTCCGATTGTTATAATTATTTACGAACTTTATGAGAATGGAACTCTATGAGAACTCATTTAGGAAAATGGTCTTTTTCCATGAACTTTGGCTCATTTTTCTCATTGATATCGTTTAAAAATGTTGGAACGGTGCCTTAATAAAAACAAAACAAAAGCCTCCCCTTTATTTAATGTAGGAAGTCGTATAGGCCAAATATTGCACGCACGTCTTCGTTTAGATTGTAGCTCCCTGAACTTTGCCCTTCATAGAAAGTATATTATCCAGTCTCCATTATGCCTATGTAGCGAAATAGAGACCGTGCATCACTTTTTATTTTCATGTCCTCGCTATGACATCATCAGAAGCATGTATTTACGCCCCCTACCATATCCCTTGACACTTAACAATCTCTTGTGCGGAGACGAGCGCGCGAGCTGTAACACGAACGAGAAAATCATTCTTAAAGTACAACAGTTTACCCTAGCTTCCAAACGTTTTACTAACTAATATCAACTTTTTTTCTGTCCATCACTTCCCGATAATATTGTGTGCAGACATATATTCTCTATTCTTTACCTAAATTCAAAACTTCATTTAAATATTTTATTCCCTTTTTTCTCGAAACATTCTAACCATAATCATTTGAAAAAACTAACTTAAATCGAATACTAGTTAAAAACAATATTTTACTTTGTAACAGAAATTGTTTGGAGTAATTTCCCAATATTATGAAACAATCTTGAAACAGAAGTTTTCTTATTCTACTACTCTAGATAATATTGTTCTAACAAATTTATTTATTTTAATTATTTATATGATTACGCTTTTCTGTATTATTCTAACCAAATATGTGCATATTTGTTATTGCAAGTACATTATGTGTGGAAAGGAATTTACATAAGTCACATTTGACTTGTTTTCCAATCCACGAAATATATCAGTGTGTTTATATATGCTTACTGTACATATATATGTTGTAAAATAGAAATAAAATATTGTTTAAACTAAAAATGTTGGATCTTAGAGTCTCCTGCTATTTAATCATTATTTGTTACTGTCTGCAAAAGTAGAAAGGAATAATTCGAAGACAAATTTTATACTATGGTCAGTGGCCTTTTTATTTAATCTGTTTTGAAGCCAAATAACCAACTTCCGCCGGCACTTTTCATATCCGTCATAATTCCCTCTCAGCATATCGTTATATATTTGAGCTCGCCATTCTTTATATAAAGATTTTTTACTTTTGTTAGATAAAGGATATGCTTTATATATGGTTAACTTTCTTATCTTAAAAAACAACTTACCTTTATTTTTTCGTCAATAAATTTGTATAATTTTTCAGGATTAAGAAGAGCTTTTGTTTGTTGATACAGGAAAGTCTTATTTGCTGAGCCGCCACCTTTGGCCATAAACAGGAAGTCGTATTTGGAACTTCCGGTTGCGTAAATTTCCACTTGCGCAGGTAGATTTGTTCTCGTATTTACTTCCGTAAACAAGTCTAATGGAGCAACCTTTAGAAAAGAACACAGCTTTGAATAATCAAAAAAACACATTCAATCTAAATGTGTATGAATGCTATATGCATCAGTGTATATCCAATAATTATGTTGTTGTTTTTTTTTTTCTTCTCTTCAAGTGCAATCTAAATAAAACAATCCTGAACATTACATACTGAACTAAAACAACACGAGAGCTAAGTGTTGGTTGTTTTTTTTTTTAAAAAATACAATAAGTGAAATACTGTATAAATGAATGCTATATGCAACAGTGTATAAAGAATATGTTGGGATTAGTACTTCCAAGTGCAATGTAAATAAAAATATGTTAAACATAACAAATTGAATTTTAACACGAGAGCTAAGTTTGGTCGTTCTATTTTCAAATACAATTGAAAGGCCCTGATTTAGTAAATCATAAACATGTCATGACAACAAACCTGAGAGTAACGGAGATTTCGTTTTGTATATGTATTATACACACCACGTGATACCGACGCTTCGTCCTTCCCATCGGTGAGAACAAATTGTCCTTTTTTCCCTGAAATTGCAACAAAGTTTAAACTGATAACTGTTTATATTTTATGCAACCGTAGCATTTGCAATGTAGTAGTATCTATAGCGATTGACTTACAAGAAGAAGATGAATTAAAAAAATCATCTTGTGAAAAACCACAAATCGTTCAGCTCAAAGGTCAAATTTTCAAATCTTCGTTTTTTCATTATTATTTAAGCTGTAACTTTAATATTTGGAAATAAATGTTCATATCATTGGACATGCTTTTTGTTCTTACTATTATTCAGTGATACAAAATAAGGTGAAAAATGCATCCTTTGTTTGGCGACTTCAGAAGTAAATAAAGCTAAATGAAGGTTACTTCCAGGTTGCATGTAACAGCCTCATGTCTAACATAATGTATGAAGTTTTCGTTAAACTTTACGGCATATGAACGAAATATCAAGTTTTATGTGAACAACAAAAAGACCGAAAATCGCATAAACAGTCCTGTTACACATATGTTTGAATATTTCATAAAAAAAACTCTTATTTGTACATGTAGAAACAGCTTCACATTCGGCTGAGCTACAATCTTTAATTTATAAATAAACGTGATAAAAGGGTTTTCAGATTGATGAATTTTACAAGTTTTCTGAAATTGCGATTTACCAATACATATAGCCGTCCCGGTGTCCTGACACCCCGGAAGTACCATTCCTGCCGATACGCATGCGTTCTTCAGCATTTCCATTGCTATGTATCGGTCATTACCCGATGCCTCAGGATCTTTCAAAATGTTTGATAATTGCTGAAAAAAAATCAAAGAAAAATTTTCAACATTCGGGTAATGATATCGGTTTGTGTATGGCATTGTACAACAGATAGACACATGAATACAATAGAGCAATGGTCAGGCAAGCCGCAAAGATACATACGCATGACGTTCATGAATAAATGTTTCATTTCCATATACATGTATAATAAAGAGTTGACTGAAGCAATTTTAAAATAAAATCTGAAAGACCATGATCTGATATTGAACTCGCTATCTAAATGACTCGTACCAGCTATTTGATAATTCAATTTCGGACAATTCGTATGTCATGATTGAACCATAATGGTTATACCAACTGAGGTCATTTTCTCATCCTGTTTTTCCCAGAATAATCATAATCATATGAGCCGTGTCATAACAAAACCAACATAATGGGGTTGCGACCAGCATGGATTCAGACCAGCCTGTGCATCCATGCTGTTAACTTACAGACCATGTAGCAAGTAGAGAAACTAATAGCGAACAGCATGGATCCTGATCAGACTGCGCGGATGCGCAGGCTGGTCTGGATTCATGCTGGTCTCAAACCCATTATGTTGGTTTTGTCATGACGCGGCTCAATTATATAAATATATATATATGCCCATCAAAAGTCTGGAGACAAGTCAATAAAAATAAGTCTTCTTGACAAAATGCTCAATTTAATTCTATTTGAATGTATAATGATACATAATAATCCATTCATACCATATATCATCACAAAAAAACTATGCACAACTTAGATTAAAAGTATCAAATGCCAAATTTTGTGCCATTTACACTAATAGCACAACAACCAACAAACAGCAGTACAGACAGCATCACACAGTTAGTACTTGGTCTGTCCACCTCTAGCTGCCGAAATGGCTTGAATTCTTCTTGGCATACTCTGAACTAATGTTCTACATCTGTTAACTGTCAACTCATACCAGGAATCACAAACATTGACAGTTCTCTCAAATTACCATGATGCTTGTTCCCAGGCTTCATTGTGATGTGATGCCACAAGTTTTCGATGGGCTTGAGGTCTTGAGACTCTTGTGGTCAGTTCTCCAAGCACATAAAGCTGTTCTAGGAGTGCCATTCTTTCACTATCTTGGCCCGATGGCATTGGACACCATCTTCTTGGTACCAGAACCCATCTCCATGCACTAGCAGATGAGCCGATGGTATGACACATTTGTTCAAATTGTGGGTTATCTTGGGTTGTAATAGCAATTAACCATAATGCAACCAAAAGGAAACTATAGATTTGATGTTCAAACAATATCCGTTTGTAAAAATACATTTACTATAATATTATACACAAGTTTCGTGTTTGATATTGCAAGTAAGTATACACCTACATGGTCATATCTGCTTTGCTGTTTCTACACATTTTGTTGTGAATAAAAATCTGGAAAAAAGTGATCTCAAAAGCCTCAATCACAACTAACTTACAGGAAAATTGCAGATTCGGTCTGATTGAATTTTTTTTATGCGGGATAATGAAAAATGCAACATCCCTCACACCCTCTAGCACCGGCTTTCGAAAGTAACTGTTTCTCATAAGTCAAGAGCCGAAATAACTTAACACTAAAAATATCGTTACAGTCTGCACTCATGAATAAAAGGTATTTCTAATTGTGTTTCAATTATTAAGAAATGTACGAAGAAAGCACAGTCTAGAGATGTCAAAACCGATATGAATTATTTATGCTGTTTTTCTAAGTAGCGAGCATGTCTATGTATATACACGAGGTGGTTGTCACGTTAGACATGTTCATGAATATCATCAAAACTAAAGCTTGAAAAGTTTTCAATGTAAAATCTAGGTTTATAATTTCGACTAACTAGTGTCTGTGGATAAAAAAGCAAAACTGGTGAGTGAAATTTAAATAACATATTTCAACCTTTTAATATGGATTGAGTAAAATCGCAATTCATTATAAAAAAATGATTCATAAAAAATGGGTAAAACAATAAAAAAAAACCAAATTTATAGGAAAAAAGTAATATTACTATCTCGGCTGATACAGAGTGATAGAAGCCCGTAAGAATATAAAATAAATACATTGTATGCTAAATCATTTCAGCAACATGAATTGAAAACATCTGTGAAATTCCTATAATCATTAGGGCTTATATATGACAGTAAGCTTAAGCCGACTGGACTGGTCTCTTGAAGTAATAACGCTAATCTACAAATATAAGTAAGTCAAATGGACTTAAATTATCTTACGTGCATTGTTATTGGTGAAGGTATCTTACAATACAACCACAAGTGACCATACAACCACTTAACTATTTTGTATAAACTTGGTTATTTTCTAATAATATCAGATAATATAACATCTTTTTCCCATAACATAATTTATATTGCTTATACTTACATACTACTTTAGAAAGAAATATTTAATTTTCATTCCTAACATCATTTGTTTGAGGAGGAGACGCTGGCCTTATGTGTCTGGAATATTAACATGACAGTTCGTTGGTCATAACGTCCGATTTTTCGTGACCATCCGATTTTTCTCTTTATAATTATGTCTTACAAGGTTCAACAACTATTCTTGATCCGCATTTGTTTTAATTGTTTTATAGAGAATTAGATTGTATTATATGGTCGTGTATTATTTTATAGAGTCGTATACTGAGGTAAACTGAGATATACAGACGTAGATTGTATTATATATAGAGACTTAGATTGCATTATATGGTCGTGTATTATTTTATGGAGTCATATACTGAGGTAAATTGAGGTATACGGACGTTGGACTAAGATTGCATTATATGGTCGTGTATTATTTATAGAGTCGTATACTGAGGTATTCTGAGGTAAATTACATTATAGGCGTGGTGTATTATAAATAGTTATATTGTAGAATTAACATAAGGGTAAAAGTGATAGCGCATATTGAAAGTTGAATTTTCTTCGATGACAAGTTTCCTTATACATTGTATCTGTTTAAAAGAATATAATACAACATAAGTATATAGAATATAATAATGTGGGTTAAAACATTGCGAAGATATAACTTGATGTGTCAACCCATTTAATCTTACTTATCTAAAGAGTGTTATTTTTCCGCGTATCGATTTTAGATTGATGTGCATTTCAGACAAAGGATAATGATTTCAGTAGAGAACTGGAATGAGCTTGATATGAAAGGTTTTACTGTAGTAAAGAATGTGCTGACTGAAGAAGAAAGCGACCAAGCGATTGTCGAATATAAAACCTGGCTCAATAGTTTCGGAAACAACAGTTACTTTCCGGAAACCTATAATTCAATAATATGGGGATACAATGTTGGACATATGGACACCACATGGCGTCTAAGACTTAAAGCAAAGCCGGTGTTTTCAGAGTTGTGGAAGACAGAGAAACTTTTAACAAGTTATGATGCTATCGCCATCGGTCGCCCTCCTGAAGATGGAATTGAAGATTTTGATGACCCTTCTAAACATTGGCTTCATGCCGATAGTACTCCTTCCAGAGTCGGACTGCATGCATATCAAGGTGCGTTGTATTTAGAGGAACAAGAAAAAGACGACTGGACATTCCAAGTAATGGAAGGATCACATAGAAAGTTAGAAGATTTTTTTATAAAATTCCCAGAGTGCGCTGAACGCGCTCGTAGGTGCGGTTGCCATTTTGATTTGTCAGAAAACGACGTTGAATATTTTAAAAATATCGGATGCAGTGTTGTTCGTGTGCCTGTACCTAAAGGCGGCCTTGCTCTTTGGGACTCTAGACTAGTCCATGCAAATGCAAGACCTCTTAAGGTAAGCTATTTTCTTGAATTACCCACACAGACTTAAAATTTATAGTAATCACTGTAAGTACATGTTCAACTTTTACCACGATAAATATCTTTAATGAAATGGTCCAGCTTTCAGTTTTGTTGTAATTTTTAAGGAACATTTCAAAACATGTATTGACTGAACAGTAAAAAGAGCAGACCATGACAAGATGGTATCGCTGTGTAGACTTAATTTGGTGTACATTGGCCTTGGTTGCCACCAGAAGGCAAAGGGTTTATGTATCCAATTAAATATAATACATTTATTTCAACAAGCTATTGTTGACATATAATTTTAATCAGAAGAAACATTAAAATCTTCTGCCGTTTATGTTATTTATTCATCTAAGACATCTGCTGAGTGTTTTAATTCTTTAAGATGTTTCACGTATTAATTGCTGTTCTTAGTAGAAGGTACTTCAATAACAATTAAGTGTATGTAAAATAACTGACCATCAGTATTTTACCAAAAACTGGAGGACGTAAGTACCATTCAAAGTACTGGTAAAAACCCTTAAGATGTCATGGTGATATGTCGCGTTAGTGTTAAAATGATTTTATAATACGGATGGTAAATTTGTTTCATTTTAGAACAGAAACAATCCTGGAAGATGGCGTTTTGCGACATTTATATCAATGACACCAGCTATATGGGCTAATAAAGAAGATATACAGAAACATCAGCATATGTACAATACGCACGATCTATCTACACACTGGTCATCACAGGTAATAAACCAATAATACCTTTTAAAACAAACGATATTCTAAATAATTTACACATGGAACAGAGATTGTGTTGCATTTAAAAGACATTGTAAACGGACCACGCCATATTCAACCGAAACAGAAATTGATGTTATCCACCCGAAACGAAAAATGATGTTCAATAAAATACGTCTAACAAATCCGTGTGAGTCGCTTCCGTATGAGTGAGCTATCGGTAAATGAACATCACTGTGACTTTTTAAATATCCTTGGTAAAACAAGTTTTTCTTCCGTTTTTATGATAAAATGATGAAAAATATAGCTTTTTGAAAGGAAACACTATTCAGTTCACACTGTAGTTTTCACAATAGTTTGTAATTGTTTGCAATGTAGCCCATGCATATCCGTGGCACAATGAATATTTTGGCAGGATTTGTTCATAGCAAATAGGAACACAGTTCTGTTTGAACTTTTACATAAGGACACACCAGGATGGTAGAATCATATTTCGAATTTCTTAAAAGCAAAACTTTGAATTTTATTTTAATAACAAAGAAAAGGCATGTTTTTCTTTATTATTTTTTTTTCTTAATTAAACCATTTAGGGCTTTAAGTATCAAGATGGGTCACTGCAGAAACTGACGTCTGCTAAACCAACGCTGTCAGAAATACGTCGTACGGATGAAGTGTTGAAGTTATCTGGTATGTTACAGTACGATTTTAACGACGGCAAACCAAATGGAGATGATTTTAAGCCGGTGTGGAAGAAATCTACATGTGTTTCCCTGTCTGAAGAGGAGGATTTAGAAAAGAAATATGCAAATGGACATATCTAATGATCTACTGTATCAATTGATCCTATTTTTAGATCCTTGTCAGTAAATTGACCCGTTTTGCAATATATATACTGCTTCATTGTACACAAAATACAATTTTCATCATCTTGAAAATTATATACAGCCATTAAATACAGATATGACAATTATAAAAATAAACAAAATGTGACCTGTGACGTTACAGGTCTGACATGTCGATTTGGTGGTATATTTTTTTTATAAATTCTTATATATAAGACAAGGATTTTTGCATTTTGAATATACTATATAAATATATGTATACGGAATATACATATACATAGAGTTTGTTATTTCTTAAACATTAAATGTTCCTTGTTATAAATGTTCCTTGTGCAGTGTTAAAAAGATAAAATAATAATGTTTAAGAAATAACAAACTCTATGTATATGAATATTCCGAATATACATAGAGTTTGTTATTTCTTAACTAAAAAAAATTAAAAATGTTCCAAACAACAATTTTTCACCAAAATTAGGTGAAAGACCACATGTTAACATGGAAAAACTAGATTTTGGGTAATGCCACAGTTTTTCATCATTTTTTGTTAACCCTTTACCTCATATATACGCTAAATAACGCACTTTCGACCCCGCCCCCCTTCTTTTAGGCCTCAAATAGTGAAAAAATGTTATATTTGGGCCCCAAACACATGTTTTCGTTTGAGAAATGTTGCTAAAAAAGTGAGCACTTTTTCGGCGCCGCCCCCCCCCCCATCCAAAGATACATCAGGGGTTGCCAGAAGGGGGATGTGCCCCCTTCTGTTTGGGGGGTTTGGAGGGGGCGGTAGTCCCTCTCTGACATCGCCAAGAAAATTTTGGACTTGTGAGAGGCTAAAAATGACCCCAGGTCGATCATAAGGTAACGTGCAACCAACGCTGAAAAACCATTGACTCTATCTCAATCCCTTGAGAAGTTGCAGCACTTTGAAATAAATTTTGTTGGAAAAATCAAGGCAAAATAATGATTTTGTGCTTTTTTGAGATGTCCCCTCGTTGCCATGGTAACAGGAAATTTAAGACTGAGCATGTCGTTACAAAGGCAATGGTCCAGTCAACATTTGTGCCAAGTTTTATTAGTATTGAAGCATTTTTCATAGTTTCATAGCAGTTTGAACTTGTAACAGGGGGGGCATTTCAATGAAAACAGCCATTTTTCACAATATGCTCATGAGGATTATTTTTTATCTATATACATATAAACGTTGCACTCAAAAGTCGGCAAGTAGTCACACAACAACTGTCAATTTTAATTTCATTCTGGGTATATTTCTTTGTTATCCTTTGCAGAATTTTCCATTTTTAGTGTTTCACTTGATATTTGTAAGATTTTCAAATTTAATGTTTTATGCCTCTGGGCCTCAGCAGAGTTCCTTTAAATTTAAAACAAACTTCAGTTTGATTTGCTTTGTACCACGTTCTTCTCTGCCGACTCATATTTCATATCACGAATGCATTTTACTACAGTTGCCATGATATCATGAGTGTTCGCTCGTCATAAATTAATGATTACTGGTCTTGACCTACATTAAATAGAGCATTAATCTCGAAAAAAATCATTTCCGGTCCAATAATGTCAAAAAAACCTCATCGGAGTCCCTTTAAAAATTAATGTTATCATTTAAACAAATCACTATCCTACATTACGTGTCATCACGGATTAACATTACAAGGATCGGACACTTTAGTTTAGCTTAAAGTCTCGTCACGCGCATGCGTGGAATCGCACATCGGATAAAGGTGGACAGAATGAACGCGCGGAGTGCGAAAAATACAGATTTTCACAAGAGTATGTGGTGTTATTGCAGCTTTGTGAAAAAATATACACATATGAATGTATTGATACAGTATTATTTTGTGCCGCTAAAGTATTAATATATGAAAATATGCCGATAGAACGATGCTACGCTTAGTTAAAAAAGTACCTAATTAAAAAAATATTCGCCTATTGTTTAGGCATACTCTCTGTTTGACGCCCTTTTACTTCAAGCACAAATTAATACCGCGATTCAGATTCAGATAATTCTTTTTTACATGGTTTAATGGGTGCATTGCAAAAAAATATTTCTTGATTGCTTAAAAACTTTTAAAGAAATTCATGTTTGAAATTTGTCTTTATTTCTGTGAATGTAAACGTGATGATGTAGTAATTATTACCCTACCTGTAAATGGCTGGTCCTGAACAAATGTGCCATATCAGTCATTGCTTGCTCAGTCAGTAATGTTAAAGCCTGTGGTTCAACTTTCAGAAATTGATGGTCGCCGAGCTGTACCTTTTCAACGTAGGCGTCTACACGTAATAAAAATCAAGATCAAGGAAATAAACAGGGGTTAAGATAGTTCTGAAATTCAAAACTTTTTACACCGCTTAATCATTAACATTTTATTTGTCTATGTTTCTGTTTTCATTTTTTCTTTATTCGTGAGATTCGGCATGTCACAGTGTGCCTAAGAATTAAAGATCCTTTAACTCATTTTTATGGTTTTATATCACATATATAATGCTCAAATGAAAATTTATCAATATCGTAAGTTCCAAAAAGCATTATTTGTAAAGATATTAACAAATTTATGTCATGATAATAAAGGGAGGTAATTAGAAATTTATTTTCTATAAAGTCCATGTTAAATTTTTCAATAAGTAATGAATGCATATATTTTAATATTTACATATAATGTGGACAAATATTTGCAGTACATATTTTACCTATTTTTCGATGTTTGAAAATTGTTTTAGAAGCATAATTATATACATATGTAAATTTTCACCTAAGTGTGGTATACAACCTCAATTACGACAAACAGGATCTTTACTGTTGTAAGCTGGTAAGCTGATTTAGAAATAACCTAACAGTGGCGATCATTTGATTATAATTATATTGATAAACATTTTTTGTTGTTTTTGAAGTATAGTATCAAAAGTGTGACATTCAACATTACCTCTGATAGAACTTAGCTTGCAAGAGAAGTAAAATAGATTGGGACTGGATTGAAAAGCCACTAGCCACTCAAACAATGGAAATCTGGCAGATCACTTCAGTATATCAATAATTTTATTTTAATTTATAACAAATAATATTTATGAGTGTTAATATTCGAGAAAAAAACGTTTTAATATGTACCTGTGAGTTTCTTCCATTTTACATCATGTGGTCGTTCCAGGGCAAGTATATCCTGGAAATGGAACGGTTTTGCATCTGACCTGGCACTGGCTGTGCATGCTATTGTCCGTAACCAGGTTTGATAAACCGGTTTCCTGTACCTGAGTCCAGTTTTTATCCATCCCATTGCTTTCTGAATTCAGTACGGATTCAAGAATTTTATGTTGTTGCTTAAAAAAATTAATGATAACTGAAATGGTTTAATAAATGAGCCGCGTCACGACAAAACCAACATAATGGGTTCGCTTACCAACTCTATTACAAGTGGAGAAACTGACAGCGAACAGCATGGATCCTGATCAGACTGTGCGGATGCGCAGGCTGGTCCGGATCCATGCTGGTCGCAAACGCACTATGTTGGTTTTGTCGTGACGAGGCTCAATTAATATGCACTATCTGGTGAGCTAGTTAGCTCATACATGTATGGTGACTGATTTGTGCCATGTCGAATTTTCGCTCCGCGGGGCGCCGGGCGAAAACACGAAAATACGATAAGTCAATATTTGTCGTACACTCGCTCATGCGACAACACGATAATACAACAAAGTGGTGATTTTGTAGCATGTTCGCCCCGCGGGACGCCAGGCACAAATCACCCACCATATAAATGCCGTGAGTGCATTTCTATAGCATTAGTAACAAATGAAAAAAGAACGATTTTAGAATTGATCTTGTATGTTTATGTTTTGTATGAATTATTATGTGCACTTTACTTGAAATTGATAATAATAATAATGAAAGGAATTGTCATCCTTCGTACCGCAAAAAAGTCAAAAAAGCGCCCTGAGGTACTCTACTGTATGCCTATATTGACTTAAATCATAAGGAAATTTATATACTCACTGTCTGAACTTTAACGATATTCATATTTAATCATGAAATTTAATTTAAATGAAATCCAGCATTTTAAAGTTTAACATATATACTGTAGCATAAACTTTATTAGGTCAAGCCTGATAGAGTTATCTCACGTACATTATCTGTTTATCACTGTATGATGGTCAGACTACGGAAGACCGTAAGTGCCTTTAAAAATTTAACGCAAGCTTTATTATGCACCCCTAATAAACGTTGGCTATTAATTTCGCATTTCGGTGATATGATGAAATGAGATCCCCCGACACTTCCATTGTAGAGACCTCGTCCAAAAGAAAGATGAAAGAGGTAAACGCTTTTCCTAAAATTATCCGTTTTCAGAGAACATGCTTGTTTTTGAAAAAATCGAAGAATGGCAAGGTCTCTCATTTAAACAGGTCATCATAAGGTGATATGTGATAGAACCAGTTTAGTAGGGATGTTATATATGCCATGATGTTGCAAGCATATAACATATTACAAAATTGAAGCATATTTCGAAAAGGCTAAAACAATCTAAACGTGTATGTTTCTTCTTCTCTCTTTTTCTTTCCTCTTTTATAAACGCAAAAACACGTGAACAATGTCGAATATATAGAAATTTAGCTATTATTTCTGAGCGGTAAACTCCAGTTTATAAAGCACATTCTAATTCATAGTGTTAACATGAAATAAGCCTATACAACTTTAAAACATATATACCAAAATGCTTAGGCTTTTTTACTGTGTACCAATCAACACAATAATAACAGCAGCAGCAACAATAACAACAACAACAATAAAAATAATAGCAATAATAATAATAATAATAATAATAATAACAACAACAACAGCAATAACAATAATAATAATAATAAAAAACACTTACAAACATTTTTATCCGCTACCCTTGTTCGTTTTGTTTTTCATATGTAAAATGAAAACTACTTCTTTCGTTTTTACTATATACATGTAAATGTATCTCCTTATTTTTCAACGCTTAACTACTTCCGTGTTGGGAAGTTCTAAATGCGGATTAATTTCAGAAATTTAAGACAGCTCATCGAAACTACCAATTAAAAATAATCAATGCATGTATAGGCGACACTATACTAACCAAATCGATATAAATAAATGCACAGACACTTGGGGTGTGGAGTAAGATCCAAATAAAATCTATATTTGTCAATCCCAGCACATGTACTGATCATATATATAAAAAGACTTAATATAAGCCGTTTTGAAAAAAAAATCATATTTCAACGTCTATAATAATATGTGCGCCACTCGTGAAATATACCTTTTGGTGCTCACTTGGTGAAATATATTTCGATCTTACACTAAACTAAACAAAATTTTCTCTATATATTCACATACTTTAGGAATAAAAGGCCCATACACTAATTACCAGCTTAATGTCTTCAGCGTACCCGTTTATATTCTATGACACGACTTTTAATGGCGCATCAGATGAAAAACAAAAATGTTAAAAAGCGGCTTATAAAGTTTTGAAAGCCAGAACTAACTCATAACTAGTAATACTTGTACATTTTGACGGCGCTTTCAATTGCAATCAAACACGGTTTATGTTCCGTTTCCTTTTTTTTAAAAGACATTTCTTTTGATATTTGACAGTTGTTCACTTTCAGGAAAGTATGACAACTTTTTAGACTTTGTTTGATTGAGTTTTAAGTCACACGGACACAGTAGGCCTATCTGTCATATAGTGACGTTCGAACTTTACTGGTGGAAGAAAACCACGGGTGCTCTTCCGTGCATTATTTCAGGCACGAACAGGATTTTGAGTAGAACCACCGACGTTCCGTAAGCTAGCCTGATTACTTCATCACAAGACAGAGTCCAAAGTCCCTGTCATGATTCAGACCTACAGCGGTGAGGGGAAAGTGACTTTCTAGATTTACTGAAGGATGAAGAAACCTCAATGCACCTTCGAACATCAGTTAAATAATGAAGACAAGGAAATAAATACAATATAATAATACTTTAAATAATTTTAGCATATTTTATTCAAATTCATAACAATTTGTAATAAGCAAAACATAGTATTATACATGTAATCATTTAAAAAAATATCCAATAAACTACATTGTATTTTAGACTTGTTAAAATAAAACTTCATTTTAGTTATATTTTCCAACAAGACCATAAACAATAGTTTTGTGTCGTACAATAAATGGTAATTTAAGATTCAATTATGAACAAAAAAAGATCTTTTTAAAACAATTGCATTTTTAGGAACACAACTAATTGTTTTTTCCAGTCTCAGACATATTCTTTTGTATTAGATATTTTGAAATGTAAGGAAAGTAATTACTAATCAAATGCATTTAAAGCTTGAAAGAGTTGTGTATTCTGTTGGTTTTTTTGCATCTTACTATTTTTACATACATTTTGTTTACTTTTAATATTGACAACTTTATTGTTGACTAATGTCAATATTAATTCATAAGTGTATATACTAAAAATGTGACTATGAGCTATAATGGCTTTGTCTACTGTATATTGTGAGATTCATGAAAGAATTAAGCTTCTTTATTCTTCTTCTTCATAACATTAGCTAAACTCACTGGCCATTCATTAATGAAGATGGTTTGCCGGACCACAAAAACAATTATCATTTCATTAAACATTACATACAATTGCAACAGTTTTTGCACAGGTGTGAAAAAAAAATGTTTCCAGCAATTTTCCTCACAAATATGGGACTTTATTCATAAATGTCATATTAAATTATGTCTGTATTTAAGTTTTGAAAATAGAACTTATAGGTCAAGTCCATAATAGGACCATAAGTGGTCATATATCCTTTTCAGCGACAAGTCTAAGATCTAGATGTCTTCAAATATACTGAATTCCTTAGAAAGGAAAGTGCAAAGACTTCCTTAGAAAGGCAAGTGCAAAGACACATTTAAGAAATGAGCCGCGTCACAACAAAACCAACATAGTGCGTTTGCGACCAGCATGGATCCAGACCAGCCTGCGCATCTGCGTAGTCGGATCAGGATCCATGCTGTTCGCTATCAGTTTCTCTACTTGTAGTAGGGTTGGTAAGCAAACAGCAAGGATCCTGATCAGACTGCGCGGATGTGCAGGCTGGTCTAGATCCATGCTGGTCGCAAACCCATTATGTTGGTTTGTCATGGCACAGCTCAAATTTAAGTTAAAACAAATGTAATGTAAACTTTTATATAATACAAGTATATGGAAAATAGTATACAAAATACCTGACCCGTCAAGCACATTAAGATAAAGTGAAAAAACACATTAAAAGTCATGCAAAAATATAGAGACAGTCATTTTGAATGATAATATATTCAATTATTTATATGAATGATAAACTTTCAAGCAATTTACGTAAGAAATAATCATTATTTCGGTTTTCATTTACAAACATATTGACTTTAAATAAAAAGTTAAACTTGTACACAAATTAACAAATTGTTTACAAAGAAAAGCACCACAAAGGCTGGGCAATATACGCCCGAATGCAAATTTGTTTAAGAAATCAAAAATATTATTTAAATTAGTGAACAACTCATTCTAAAAATTTATCTGAAACATTTTTTCTCAATAATCCTTCTGATACCAAGTGCATAACATTTATATGTCCAAATTTCTTAAAATTCTTTCAGACGTATATAAAATCTACATTGAAGAATATGTAAAATGAGCATGAAATAATAACATTATGATGATCTGTGATGTAACTGTATCACTTTTAATCATAAAAAAATCTTTTTAATGTCACAACAAGTTAACATCTTAATGTCACATTAACAATTGCATCATAATTAATGTCATAATAGCCATAATTTACCACTAGATTCAACAATCAATCCTATCTGATTTAAATTCATCACAATCGTATCATTTTTATGTCAAAAATCTATCATGACACCTTTAAGTCACAACTCTCATGACAGCTAAATTCCTTATTCAGTTATAACATATATAAATCACAATCAATTATGACATCAATATGTCCTGATCAATCATATAACATTTTAATGTCACATCCAATCATGTCACATTAAGATCACGATAAAACATGATATTTTAATGTGACCAAAAATGATGCCACATCAATGTCATAATCAATCATGGCACTTGTATGCAACAATCAATCACGGCATTAGCATAATCAAATCAATAATGACACATTAATGCCACAATCAATCATGGTATATTAATGTCACAACCAATTATTACACATTAAAGTCACAATCAATTATGGCATATATTAATGTGACATTCAATCATTGCATATTAATGTGACATTCAATCATGGCATATATCATGCTCAATACTGAAAGGATTATAACAATTTAATGTCACAACAGCTGTGAAAAAATATAAAAACAGCCAGGCTTTTCAAAAAAATATGACAATTATCAAGATCCTGTAATTACCATGACATTATATTATCATACTCACAAATGGCATGACAATGTTACAAACCAACATGTTATACTAAACCACTGCTGTATAATAATGTCAACTTAACCATGACATTAAAACATATACAAACAATTTATGACACAAAAGTCACCATAACAACCAAATCTGACACTATGATGAAATAACCATGTAGAACACATTTACTTAACAACCAACTATGACATCATGCAGACATTCTATGACATCACTCAGTATCAACCAATGATAGTGTAAATATAATCTGATGTTTATAATGAATTACCATACAAAAATATAGGATATATAAATATAATAATAAACTTGCTAATTTAAAATAAATTGCACTTCAGGCACAAGAAAAAGTGTAAACATACAATTGTTACATGCATTTAAACAAGTAAATAAACTTTTGATCAAAGATAAAGTAAACATATGTTATACTTCCCTCGAAATTTTTTCTAGGAGCGTAATAACTACCATGACTGGCATCTGCTTTCAGGTGTCGCACCTATTTGCAACAAAACATATACGAACTTATAACAAATACCAATATAAAACATACAGTATCAGTTTTGTTGTTGTTGCTTCCCCCCCCCCCTTTTAAACAGCTAATCTAGAACCTATCTAGAACAATGCTGTTTCCATTCTTAAAATTTACTGTTATTTTCATTTAAATTTTATACTTAAAGGGACTCCACTGAGGTCGAAAAGCTTAAAGAGATAAAATTTACATTTCTTACGGGGGGAGGGGGGGGGGAGGGGGTAGGGGAGTACTTAAAACAAAAATATATGCAAACAAGAGGGCCATGATGGCCCTGAGGTCGCTCACCTTTATAGGCCTGGAGTGGGGCCAGTTTAAACCCCAGGGCTTTTATTTGAACAAACTCGGAAGACACTCATTAGAAGATGTTTCACAATAATAAGTTTTAACTACACACATGTAATGAAAAACAATGATCTCACCCGCCCCCGTCCGGTCCTTCCCCCCCTTCCCCCCCCCCTGGCAGGGCCAATTTTCACCCAAGGGCTTTTATTTGAACAAACTTTGTAGACATCCATAAGAAGATATTTCATGCTAAACATCTAAGCTCTAGCTCATTGGGTTTTTTAAAAGAAGATTTTTAAGTTTTTACTACACACTTATAGTTAAAAACAATGACACCCCTGGGGCGGGGCCAGTTTTGACCACAGGACTTTTATTTGAACAAACTTTGTAGCCGTTTACTAGAAGATGTTTTATGCTTAATATCTAAACTCTAGCTATTTAGGTTTTTTCAAAGAAGATCTTTTAAGTTTTTACTATATGCATATAGGGAAAATCAAGACCCCCCCGGGGCAGGGCCAATTTTGACCCCAGGGCTTTTATTTGAACAAACTTTGTAGCGCTCACTAGAAGATGTCTCATGCTTAATATCTAAACTCTAGCTATTTGGGTTTTTTCAAAGAAGATTATTTACGTTTTTGCTATACACATATAAGGAAAATCAATGACCCCCAGGGCGGGCCAATTTTGACCCCATGGCTTTTATTTGAACAAACTTGGTAGACACCCATTAGAAGATGTTTCATGCTGAATATCTTAGCTCTAGCTCTTTGAGTTCTTTCAAAGAAGATTTTGTAAGTTTTTACTATATGCATAAAGGGAAAATCAATGACCCCCTGGGGCGGGGCCAATTTTGACCCCAGGGCTTTTATTTGAACAAACTTGGTACACACTCATTAGAAGATGTTTCATGCTGAATATCTTAGCGCTAGCTCTTTGGGTTCTTTAAAAGAAGAATTTTTAAGTTTTTACTATATGCATATAGGGAAAATCAATGACCCCCTGGGGCGGGGCCAATTTTGACCCCAGGGATTTTATTTGAACAAACTTGGTAGACACTTACTAGAAGATGTTTCATGCCAAATATCTAAACTCTAGCTATTTAGGTTTTTTCAAAGAAGATTTTTAAAGTTTTTACTATATGCATATAGGGAAAATCAAGACCCCCGGGGCGGGGCCAATTTTGACCCCAGGGCTTTTATTTGAACAAACTTAGTAGACACTCACTAGAAGATGTTTCATGCTTAATATCTAAACTCTAGCTATTTGGGTTTTTTCAAAGAAGATTATTTACGTTTTTGCTATACACATATAAGGAAAATCAATGACCCCCGGGGCGGGGCCAATTTTGACCCCAGGGCTTTTATTTGAACAAACTTGGTAGACACCCATTAGAAGAGGTTTCATGCTGAATATCTTAGCTCTAGCTCTTTGAGTTCTTTCAAAGAAGATTTTGTAAGTTTTTACTATATGCATATAGGGAAAATCAATGACCCCCTGGGGCGGGGCCAATTTTGACCCCAGGGCTTTTATTTGAACAAACTTGGTACACACTCATTAGAAGATGTTTCATGCTGAATATCTTAGCTCTAGCTCTTTGGGTTCTTTAAAAGAAGAATTTTTAAGTTTTTACTATATGCATATAGGGAAAATCAATGACCCCCTAGGGCGGGGCCAATTTTGACCCCAGGGATTTCATTTGAACAAACTTGGTAGACACTCACTAGAAGATGTTTTATGCCAAATATCTAAGCTCTAGCTCTTAGGCTTTTTTAGAAGAAGATATTTAAAGTTTTTTCTTTCGGTTGCCATGGCAACCAGAGTTCTGCATGGAATTAAATTCTTTGAACAATTTTTAAAGGTGACCACCAAAGGAACATTCCTGTGAAGTTTGGATGAAATTGGCTTAATGGTTTATGAGGAGATGTCATTTAAAGTAAAAGTTTACGGACGGACGGACGGACGGCCGACGGACGGACGCCGGACGAAAAGCGATCACAAAAGCTCACCCTGTCACTTTGTGACAGGTGAGCTAAAAAGTAACTAAACAAAAAATTACAATCTAACATTTTGCACTCAAGTTAGTGGTATATCTAGTATTACATCAAATGGAACATTAATTTCGAAAAAAATATTTCCAGTCCCATCATGACAAAAGACCTCAGTACAGTCCCTTTAACACTAACCACAATGCAATTTTCTAACCCTACAACCCTGAGTAATTAGAATGTTGCGTTTCTTCTTAAGAACAGATCATATTCTTTAATATCGTATAACAATGATTTTTTATTTCTTCTAAATATAAACTAACTCTACAGTGGAGGTGATATTATGTAAAAAAAAGTGTGCTACAAAATATTTAGTCAAAAAACGTAGACATATGATAAATTCTTAAACTTTACTTCACATTTCAAACACTATAGACATTACAACAGTTACTGCCACATCACAAAAAATACTCTTACAAATTTTATGATATCACGATCTATAGAAGAAAACTCTTGTATAAAGAGACAGTCAAAATTCAAGTAATAATCTACTATATGCGATAAAAGACTGACTTTGCAGTATTAAACCAGATTTTTACTGCCCGACTAACACAGTAAGAGCTATTTTTGCATATTTTGACCTCTCTTTGGTAATTTCGTGGATTGTAAGTGCCGATTGCAATGTACAAATTACTTTCTTTTGTCACTTCACAATATTTAACTTTAAAATACATTTTCGAATTTTCTTAAAAATTTAGCATGAACCATCACTGGAATGATATTCTTTCTGTAATTTGACATTTAAAATGAGTCATGATACTTAACTTATACAGAAACATAGCAACACTTAAGACAGATATTCAAGCTGACAGAGGTAATACAAAAACAAAAAAAGATAACATGATTTGCATATTTAATCTCGACATGTTTAAAAAAAACATAAATTGTTGTTTTTACGTAATTTTACACATCATAGAATTGTACTGATTCTCTTTATAACATATCAATATTACCGTAAAATCAAATTCACAAAATTAAACTACCATTAATTTTATATACCGTAGATAAGATATGCACCATTGAGCCATTTTACAATTATATAAAGTACATAACACTGCAAAATATTACATATCGGTATATTTATTTTCGTACAGATTATATTCAACCAAACCTTAAAAAAAAAAAGATAATATTTTACACAAATTTATCATAATTATATCATATCACAAGTCATATATCAAATCAATTAAATGTCTGAATAATAACATCAAGTTCAATCTCTTCTTAAAACAAGAGCAATCAGTAATCACATGTGTCGCCTCATGATGGCAAATTTCATGTTGGGACAAATTTTGTGACAGACAGACGGACAGTGCACAACTAGACTTGGTACTGATCATTCCTGTAAAGTTTGGATAAAATTGCACCAGTAGTTTATGAGGAGTAGTCCGGACAAGCTTTTGTGTATCTGGCAACACACAGAAAAAAAGACCTTTTTATCAAAGGGCCATAACTGGGCCAAAAATCATTCAACCGGAAAACCCGTGCAATATGCGCAAGGACTTGAGCTACAGATCAATCCTGTAAAGTTTCATTGAAATTGCATTAGTGGTATAAGAGAAGTAGTCCAGACAAACTTTAAAATTAAAAATTATTAAAGGGCCATAACTCTGACAAAAATCACTGAACCGGAAAATGCTGACAATATGCACAACTAGACTTGGTACTGATCATTCCTGTAAAGTTTGGATGAAATTGCACCAGTAGTTTATGAGCAGTAGTCCGGACAAGTTTTGTGACGGACGGACAGACGGACGGACAGACAGACAGATGGACAGACAGACGACGGAGAAGTGATCCCTATATGTCGCCACTACTCCGTAGAGGGGACACAAAAATATCTTCAGGAAAACATTTTACATGTACTCGACATAACTATATAAACTCAGATAATCACTGATCTTATGACAACGGGCCGGCAATGGCGTATTTCCATGTGACCTGCGTTTACATTGGTCAAAGTTAACCTATATTTTTCATATGCTTAACAAATCAAGTTTTCAATTGACAGACAAAATTAATATCTATGACAATTCTATCATGCTCATTATAAGTAAGTAAATTGAGAAAAATCTGTAGAGTTATATATTCAGCAGAGAAGAAAATATACCTGATATATGAGTTTCTTGGTGTCACCTAAGACTTAAAATCTTATTAAGTACCAGAGGTCACAAATAATATAGTTACAAACTATGTTTGCAATGGAAAATGTTCAAGTGAACTCATCTTTACTGGAAAATCTGTAATACAATGAATAATTACGTTGCCAGTATTTACTATTCTAACACAACCTGCATTTTTCCCTATTGAACATGGAAGAACCGAAAGAGTGTGTTATTATGCAATAAAATTACTGTTTGACGGTCTAATTATTTAGACATGTGACTTAATCATTATATATGTGATGTAACCACTAAATATGTGACGTGCTTAAAATAGGTACATAAACAAATCAGACGCAATTTAGCTTAATATCAGGTACAACAGCATTTATTTGATGATGTCGTGTTAGAATCGAAATAATATAATCAAATCGGTGATTTTATCGCTTGATAAAATCCCTGTTTGTCGTTCGGATGTGCATCATTATATCCTTGGGCTATGCCCTCGTGATTTAATACCTGGCATCCCAACTCCAAACAGTGCTTTTATTGAGCGATAAAATCACCATTTGGGATATATTATTTCTTAATTAGACAAAACAGCAACCCATCTAGGAATCATATACATGTATGTATGATTTTGGTAAGTGTGAGAAACATGATCCGATATTACTTATATTTATATAGCAGACAATAGAATGTTCTAGAACAAAATATTATAATTCATCAAATAAATAAATAGAATGTTCTAGAATAAAATATTATAATTCATCAGATAAAAGGTCATTCTAAATCACTTAGAACTTTATCAACATAATTTTTTTTATGCAGCATTTTATAAGAATATCCAATTGATCCATTTCCATTAATATTATCATTTGACCCGCGTCACAACAAAACCAACATTATGGGTTTGCGACCAACATGGATCCAGAACAGCCTGCGCATCTGCGTAGTCTGATCAGGATCCATGCTGTTCGCTGTCAGTTTCTGTACTTGTAATAGGGTCTGTAAGTGAACAGCATGGATCATGATCAGACTGCGCGGATGTGCAGGCTGGTCTAGATCCATGCTGGTCGCAAACCCATTATGTTGGTTTTGTCATGGCACGGCTCATTTTATCAATACTTGAAAAATATTAATGGAAAATGTGCCCATTGTAAACCTAATTTCACCTTAAAATTGGAATAATTTCATAGAAAAAAAAAAAAAAAGATTTTCCGGGGGAATGTTCAAAGCAGCAAAACTTAGTAATAATTGTTACTACGAATAAATAAAAAACATTTCAATACAGGTTCTTAAAACTGGTCCCTAAAACAAACACGATACATGGTGTAAAAATTATATTATATGTGTTGGTAAAAAATATTATATGTGTAAAAAAGGACCGACACGTGTGGAATTATCTTTTATACCTGAACATACAATTTGATATGCTTGATTTTATATTTAAACGTGTATGGAATGTGACTGAAATATATCTCATTAGTGCTAGAGTTTTCAAAAACCTTAATGTTACATCTATAGGTTGAGATTGACAATAAACCATTTTATAACTCTTAAAGTTTTCAGGTTATAAGGTTAACGGAGCATGCCTCCAGATTCATGCAAATTTTCATGTAAAAATTTAAAAATATATTGAAAAGTAAATATTGTGGAGTGAACAAAGAAAATTACAATAATCGAGATTGGACTGTATATCTTATTTTTTCCAAATATGGGAGCAGTGTACCAAAATATTTCTAAAATTGTAAGTTTTCAAAGAAATTTTGCGGAGAAATCTAATGATATAATGCAAAATAGGCCATGTATTAGACCAATAAAATAAATCTGATAGGCGAAATATTTATGCAAATGAAAAACTTATGTATATGAAAAGATAACTTGATATTCACTTGCATTTCAAGATCTTTCATAAAAATTTTTAAACTGATTAATAGTATTTCAACTTACTAATTTGTTGATTTTTATGTCACCCCACCACTGTTAAATTAATATGGTGACTTTCCAATTCTTTCCTCTACTTTGAAGAGTATTTAATTTAATTTGATTCCTGAAAAAGGGCCCTTCTAATATCCAAGCTTTTAATCAGAAAAATGTCCATAACTTGCAAATTGAATAGAAAATTTTGTTAAAATTTTGCACGCAGATGTCCTTTAAGGCATATAACTGACTTATGTTGTCAATTTTTTTAGTTTGTTATAGTGCCCATTAGGGTGGTCAGTCTGTAACACCAATACTTTAGCAAAATCAATGGGCTCTACCACCAGTGTAAGTTCAGGCCAATCAGAACATTTATGCTGTATTGCTGGTTGCTTAACATTACAATTTTGTATTTGGATAATGCAATATAGTGTAAGTTAACAATAAGTTAATAATTTTAACTATACAGCTGGACAAGTGTAAATGTGTCACACACAATAACAGCAGAATTAAGGTTAAGCCACATTGACATTACACAAGAATACACACATGTACATGAAGCAGTTGAGTATATCACAAAATATGGCATAAACTTGTACACATATTCAAGATTGCCGACGTTTCATGTTTTGTTAAATGTTTGTCAAGGTCATACCAAAATTTACCCTATGGAATAAGATCTTAACATGTTTACAGTACAGAACATTTTCACTGCTGTTTGCAACTGTTTTTCTGTTTGTCAGTCATCTGACTTGGATTTGGTTTGCGACCTTTCTGTGACCTTTCACCCATGTTTCTTCTCTGACCTTGAACTGGAACAAAAGGGGAGACAACTCCGGGCCCATCGTCGTGGAAACTATCTTCTCTGGAGGAGACAGTGCTCATTGTACGATCTGAAAACAAAACAAAAATCTTTTCTTTATGTAATCAGTTATAAAAATAGATCATTAGGATTACAAAGCACTGGACAAATAGAAGAAATCACCATAAAAGTAGCATCAAACGAATGCATGCCAGTTCCTATTCATTTTAGTAAGCAATGGAAATTGTGTATTATTTCATTTAAAGTGACATTTTGCTTATTTTTTCATTGTAATTTTTATTAACTATATATTTCAAAAGATTCACTGTTAAAATGGTGATTGACCTACAGTTGATATTGGAAAAAGTTTAGAATAAAATACAAATCTCCCTAAAATATAAAAAGACTGCCCCACTCTGTTTATAAATTGAATGTTAAGGGTAAATTGTGATGGATATTAATAGAAATTTCCTTGGTTCACATGACATTTTTATATAATTCATGCAAAGTAACTTATAAAATTAAAAGGAATTATGACAAAATGTAAACTTATTCCGACTTCACCTGTTCTTTCACTATATAACATAAGATGGGCATTATTTAATGTCACTTTAATGATATTATCTGGCCCATTATAAACTATATATTATCTGAGGAAAAGGTTTCAATGTGAATGTTTTTCAAAAAAAGCAATGGTAGCTATGGTAATTTACTAATGTTCTATTTGAATATTGATACATGAAAATTTAAGTACACATTAAAATGAGATGGGGTTTTTTTTTGCCATGAACTAACGAAGTGCTCATACATTGATATAATATTTATATACATGTATTCAATAAAATTGCTCATAGTTGAATCGTATGCTGTAAAATGAAATTCATTCATTTAAATTGTTTGTGACCCAAAGGTGAAGTGTCATTGTCTTCAATAAGATGTATCCCTAAAATAATTGTGATATAACCATCTCCAATGTGAAGTAACATTATATGAATTGTGAAGTAACCTTTGTCAATGTGAAGTAAAATTATATGAATTGTGAAGAAACCAAAGTCTCCAACATGAAGTAACATTACATGCATTGTTAAGTTACCTTCTCCAATGTGAAGAAAAATTATATGAATTGTGAAGTAACCTCCAATGTGAAGTAGTAATTCAAAATTTTTGCTAAATAAATGTCATTGACAAGTAGATCTATTTTGATGTGAAGTAACACTATTTATATTTTGATGTGAAGTAACACAATTCATATTTTGAGGTGAAGTAACACAATGTCATGAATTGAAGGAAACCGTGACTGATATTACATTTTCATTTAATTGTGAAGTAATCATCTCCAATGTGAAGTAATATTAATATCAACAATTGTGCCAAATATAATGGTTAAGTGAATCTATTTTGATGTGAAATAACACATATATTTCAGGTGTGAGGACTGGTGAGGTATAACCCATTGGTGAAACAAGCTGTTTTCACTGAGAAAGAAAGCTTAAGGTTTTTTAAGAACAAAAATTTGTTAAAAGATTGCTTAGAAGCAACTGCAGAAAAAGAGCCAAATCTAGCAAAAGGATCATAGAAGGTTCTTTATCTTATCTTTTCAAAGTTAAAATATCCTACCTTCTGTATTTTAGCTAGGAAGCTTTCTTTAACTTTGAAAAGTCCAAAGTTACTGGCAGACTTTGAACCCATACAAAGTGAGGGGCAAGTAACTAAAGACTGAAGTCAGTGTCCTTAGCCACTAGGCCATAAGATTCCTCCTTATAATAATATTCCCTGATATCATTGATAAAGTGCTCAGTAACAAAATACACAATATTCACCACAATAGCTATTACTATTCAAATACAACATGGACAAAAAATGACTAAATTTCTACATTGCACTAAAACCATAACTATGCTAAAAAAAATCATACGATTTCAAATTCCCAAAAAATAAACAAAGTTCTTTTTTTTTTCTTGTCAATTACTCAAACCTGACCATGATAACCTGACCAACAGTTATCTATCTAAATGTATGTGTTGTAATATTACCTTGATAACAACAATAAATGCATTCAGATTTATTTGTTTTTGTTTTAAGAAGCCAAGTTGACAAACTACCTTTCCGTAGGCTACCTCTCATACATGGGTCCCATTCTACAAGGTACATAGCTGCTTAGTAATAAATCAAAGAGTAGCCAATGTTCATTGATAAGTTCAACAAACAAAATAATGTTTTATAGACTGACCTTACAAAATTTTATTTATTTCACCAATCTTTGAATTGGAGACAGTCCATTCCAAGTGAAAAATACTTCAGTTTCAAAATGACTAAACTTACGCTACCAACAGTATAGAGCCAGGTCAGGTTAGAGGATTTACAGGCTGGCCTGGCTTTATTATAACTAGTGGCAAAGGTTTGAGGCAAAAACTCTGATCACTATATAAGTGGCAAAAACTCTGATCACTTTTGGGCCCAGCAGGTTAAGGGCTACTAAAAGTGATCTTTGGTGTTGAAAAAACCGACTTACAGACTTCAATGTCTCTAGCCATCAAAAAATTGCTTGGACCAATAAAACATTGCCGTAACACATGCCAAGAAGGGGCTTTTTATGAAAATGCCTAAAAATCCTACAACAGTATGCTATTTTTTTTCTGTTTTATAAAAGTTTTTTATATACTTATACTGTAACTGTATGGTAGATCTTAGTAACTCAGTTACAATATTATGTCACTTACATGGTCAAAGTTCATTCAAAATTTATATAACAATCAGAGATATCAAACTTTATAATAAATGATAACAAACCATAAAACAAATCAATAAACACAACAACATGACCATTTTTTCATATAAATTTCTGACATGTAAAAAAAGTATATTGCAAAGAAATAGAAGAATTAAGCTAGGTAGAAATACAAAATGCTCATATACACAACATTCAATGCAAGCATAACCTTTTAAACAATAGCATCACACTGTGCATATATGTTACCTTTATATCCGTAATTTAAGTTTTTCGAATCCTTAAACCTAGATAAACTGCCCCCTCGTATACTTCCACTTACACTAGGGTCCCATTCTATTTCTACCCATTCTAATGCAGAAATGAAATACAGTTGTTAGAGAAAATGAAATGAGCCGCGTCATGACAAAACCAACATAATGGGTTTGCAACCAGCATGGACCCTGCGCAGTCTGATCAGGATCCATGCTGTTCGCTATCAGTTTCTTTACTTGTTATAGGGTCTGTAAGCGAACAGCATGGATCCTGATCGCAAACCCATTATGTTGGTTTTGTCATGACGCGGCTCAAATGTAAGTGAAAATGAAATAGAGTTGTAAGTAAAAATCAAGTAATAGGTTTTTTTTTTTAATTTAAAGGCCCATGTTATGCCCAAGAAATGCTTTTATTTTGATTCAGTTGCCTTTTGAAAATATTACAGTTTAAGTTATTCAGTATATTGTATGGAAGTGAAAATACTGCCTGCTTTACATTTTGTTATTTTTATAACAAATAATTTCACATTCTTTGATTCTTTCTTCATGTAATAAAAATATTACATGTTTTAAAACCATGTAAAAAGTATTTTTGTCCATTCTAAGGAAGGAAACAACTTCTTCTTTTTTTCCTGAGGCATAACATGGCTTTAAGTATTAAAAGAATTGTAACAAGAGCTGTCCGTAAGACAGCGCGCTCGACTTTTTTATTGCTTGCCAATAAAAAAAGTTTTTGCAGTAAAAGGCAATACAAGAATCTCTGTATTTTTAAAGTGAACAATGGCCATGAGCATTAAGATATTTAGTGAAGAATTATTTTATTATGACATAATTTATGGTAAAGTGAACAAGTGGATAGGAATGAATTTTTTTAGATTTTTTAAGTTTTTTAGTGCTTACCTATAATACAAAACATTGACAGTTAAGGGCCATAATTCAAATAAAATCTTTGACAGAATTACCTTCTCCTGGACATGTTTGGGAATCATGATTGTAAACAAGTATTCCAACTTTCAAATTAATATCTCAAACAGTTCAGTCAAAAAGTGGACTGGTACTAAAAACTTAACCAAGATTCTAAGTCGATAAAAGGCCTTAATTTTTAAAACAAATCCTTGACAGAGTTACCTTCTCTTGCGTACAGATGGGGGTAATGATGTGAAATAGCATTAAAAGTTTCAAAGCAATATCTCAAAGGGTTAAGGCAATAAGTGGATTTTACCCATATTCAATGTATTTTCTAAGTCAAAAAGGGGCATAATTCTGTCAAAAACCTTGACAGAGTTATGTCCTCTTGTCTGTTGATGAAGGTCGTGATGGTAAACAAGTATGGTCAGTTTCAAAGCAATACCTCCAATGGTTTTGAAATAAAGTGAGGTGGTACAAAAAACTTAACCAAGCTCAATACACTTTCTAAGTCAAAAAAGGGCCATAATTCTGTCAAAAACCTTGACAGAGTTATGTACTCTTGTCTGTAGATGGAGGTTATGATGGTGAACAAGTATGGTAAGTTTCAAAGCCATACTTGTAATACTTCTGAAATAAAGTGGGGTGGTACGAAAAACTTAACCAAGGTGTGACGCCAACGCCGACGCCGACGCCGGGGCGAGTAGGATAGCTCCCCTTTTCATAGAAAAGTCGAGCTAATAAAAATGAAAAAAAGTTCCTGGCAAAACAATTCAATACAAAATGTATTTATGTTTAATGTTAATGGTGATGATATAAATGTATTGCAGAATAGAGGTAGGGAGAGGATTTTAGTGACACTAAGGTTTCTGGCAGGAATAAATGAAAAGGATAGCTATGTTTAGTTCAATCTAAAGTAAAAAAGTTTTAATGTTAGTAATTATTAAAATTAAGGATATATTTCTGTCATCTTTGAGCAAAATATTTTTATTGCAGAAAACTGAAATCTATCAAAATTTAGATGGACACAGTATAGGTCATATGGCAACATTCAAACTTTACTGGTGGAAGAAGACCTAGGATGCGCTTCGGTGCATTATTTCAGGCACGCACAGGCACCTGAGTAGAACTACCGACATTCTGTAAGCTAGCTGGATAGCTTACTCACATGAGAGACTCCAAAATTCCTGTTGGGATTCGAACCCACAGCGGTGAGGGGCAAGTAAGTACACTGTGTAGCAACAAATATCAATTTTCAGCATAGTATACTAGTACTTTAAGCATTGAAAAGATTTTAAATACTCAAAGAAAGAAGCAAATTTCTTGCCAAAATGAAACATATACATGTACATGAAACATTTTTAAAAGTTCAAACTTAGGTAAATAGTGGCATGGGCAGAATGTTACAGTTTTTTTAAAAAAATTTAATACCGATGGTCAAAATTAAAATATATCCCTGAAAATGACAAAATTCAGACATAAAATACAATACTGTGTGAGGCACTAAGCTTGTGTCTTAATTAGCATGGTATAATAATACATAAAATTAGTGCCAAGAACAAAGTGTATTAGAATATATTTATATGTTCAGCCATGCAAAGCATTATGCATGGTTGTATTAAATAATAGACACTCATCAGCTGAGCTGGTGCAAATCTTAGAACAAACATGTGCTTTAAAGGCAAAACACTAAACATTAAAGGCCCATTAAGCCTAAAATTGCTATTTTTTTCATTTCTACAAACATTATTCATTTTTTTTGGATCCTGTTACAATTTCTGTACAAGAACTCATTGGCCTTGCAGCGAATCTATCTTTTGCTTCTTGTGATTTTTGGCAGTAAGTACAGTTATAGTGATTTTGAATGGATGTCGAAATACATATTTTTGACATTTTAGGGCTTTATATCAAATGAGTTCTCAGCAGTGCTACATATAACTTATTTAGGTAATAATACTGCTAATAGCTACAGCTCTAGAATTAGGAAAACTACAATACCTTGAAAATTCCAAAGAAATTTGTAAGGGTTAACTATGAGTTGTTTCCTTCATGACATCTGATATTTATTGCTAGACTTTTCATATCTTACACAATCCATTAGAATGTTATGAAACTGACTTTCATATGTTCCCTTTCGCCCCTGTTCCTAAACCTAACATAGAATAAATCTCTTCACTGAAATGATTGAATTGACCGAAGAGCAAATTGCGACAATAATGTTCGCAGTGCCCCTGAAAGTGTTTATTTCCCCTGCCCTTTTGCTGTGTCAGAAAAGTACCTTTTTGACTACAAATCGTTCTGTCCTTTGATTAACATAAAATGCTCGTACCCTTAACTTCGCTTTATACATCTTAATATTAACCTTTTACACAACAGCACCATACTGTTTTCAAGTGCATTTCAGTTTTGGAACTGACCTAAAAAATAATAAATAAAGTCACAAATATTGATACCAACCTTCATGAGGTAATGGTCGGGTCACTGGATGGATGACCTGTTTTCTATCTGTGGTCGCCTCAGATCTACGTGTATAAGTTGGGTCTATAGCTGCAGCTATATTAAAATTAAACGGGTCACTAACAGCATAGTGTGAACTATTGTCAGTACTTGTGTCGTGACGGGAAATTCTCCCGTTCCTGAAATAATAAATTAAAAAGAATAAAATTTAAAAAAAAATAAAAAAGTAATTCTGGTATTGGTTTTAAAAACACAATGACACTTTAATGGCAACTTTACAGCTTGGCGATTGAAGATTTTATGAGTCACTTCGTGCATTATTTGAGCCACCTGCATAGAAAAATTAAATCAACTTTATGTGAGCTCATTCTAAACATCCAATCAACATTCAATGCCTACACAGGAGTTTATTACTTACTTAGGTGAAGGACTTGTATAACAAATATGATGTGAATACTTCTGACCGTTTATTAACTATAATTATGTGTTTTTCCTATGTTATGTGAACTGCTTCAAACTACAACTGTTAATACTGTACAATGTCAATTGTTTATACATATACACTGTATATAGTTGGGCAATATATTTCATACATTCTCATGTCCCCTTGTTTGTGCATGTGGGGCACAGGGCATCTGCAGATAATTAAAGATCCAATGCAACATGTAAGACAAGAAGGTCATAATTATTCAAATCGGCAGCTTAAGGAAATGTTTTGGTGATAAAAGATCAGCTTGTACTGGTCTATTAAAACAAGAGGGCCATGATGGCCCTGAGGTTGCTCACCTGTATATAGGCCCCCGGAGAGGGGCCAGTTTAAACCCCAGGGCTTTTATTTGAACAAATTTGGAAGACACCCATTAGAAGATGTTTCATGATGTTAAGTTTTTACTACACACATATAATGAAAAACAATGATCTTCTTCTTCTGCCCCCTCCCCCCCCCCCATTTAGAGGGGCCAATTTTAACCCAAGGGCTTTTATTTGAACAAACTTGGTGAACACCCATAAGAAGATGTTTCATGCTAAACATCTAAGCTCTAGCTCATATGGTTTTTTAAAAGAAGATTTTTTAAGTTTTTACTATACACATAATTAGTTAAAAACAATGACAGCCTGGGGCGGGCCAGTTTTGACCCCAGTGCTTTTATTTGAACAAATTTTGTAGACACTTACTAGAAGATGTTTCATGCTTAATATCTAAACTCTAGCTATTTTGGTTTTTTCAAAGAAGATTTTTAAGTTTTTGCTATATACATATAAGGAAAATCAATGACCCCCAGGGCAGGGCCAATTTTGACCCCAGGGCTTTTATTTGAACAAACTTTGTAGACACTCACCAGAAGATATTTCATGCTTAATATCTAAACTCTAGCTATTTGGGTTTTTTCAAGAAGATTTTTTAAGGTTTTGCTATACACATATAAGGAAAATCAATGACCCCCGGGGAGGGGCCAATTTTGACCTAAGGTATTTTATTTGAACAAACTTGGTAGACACCCATTAGAACATGTTTCATGCTAAATATTTTAGCTCTAGCTCTTTGGGTTCTTTAAAAGAAGATTTTTTAAATTTTTACTATATGCATATAGGGAAAATCAGTGACCCCCTGGGGCGGGGCCAATTTTGACCCTAGGGCTTTTATTTGAACAATCTTGGTAGACACTCATTAGAAGATGTTTCATGCCAAATATCTTAGCTCTAGCTCTTTGGGTTCTTTAAAAGAAGATTTTTTAAGTTTTTACTATATGCATATAGGGAAAATCAATGACCCCCTGGGGCGGGGTCAATTTTGACCCCAGGGCTTTTATTTGAACAAACTTGGTAGACACTCACTAGAAGATGTTTCATGCCAAATATCTAAGCTCTAGCTCTTTGAGTTTTTCAAAAGAAGATATTTAAAGTTTCTTTCTTTCGGTTGCCATGGCAACCAGAGTTCTGCATTGAATTAAATTCTTTGTACAATTTTCAAAGGTATACTAATAAAAAGAATAAGGAAAGTGAAACACACGAAACAAAGTGGGTCAGGTTTCTATAATTTTATTTAAGACCTACGTTTCGGCTATTCAATAGCCTTCATCAGGGTACAGATATATCAGAATTTTTCATCTAAGGTACAGTTTTGACGGTTCTTTTTGTCACGTGATCAAATCTATTTATAGAAGTTATTGTTAGGTGGTTCTTTTGTCCGTATATAGTTATTTGTATGAATAATTAGAAAATAATAATAATAAATATTTATAGTTATTGTGAAGTTATTGTTTATTTAATTAACAAGAGCTGTCGGTAGGACAGCACGCTCGACTATTCTTAGTGTTTGATAGTAAAAGAGCCTTGATAATTTTTAAATTTTTTAAGTTCACAAAAGGGCTAATTTTTTTTTATAAATTCATGTTATATGCCTTAGAGAGAGTCTAATTATACAGTATTGGCTTGACTATTCGGAAGGTAATGTAACAAGGGTGTTTTATTGAGTATAATAATACTAATTACCTATGAATACAAAACTTTGACAGAAAAGGTACAAAGGCTTGTTATTAAGATGTTTTATCAAGTAAATCACTGCTTTATTATTATAATGCATAAAATTGTCCCAAAAAAGGCACAAATCCTTCAGTAGTTATTGAGATAACAGCTTACAAGCAAAACTTTACCATGAATTTCTAAGTTGAAAAAGGGGAGAAAAATCAGCCTAAATGCAAGATAGAATTATGGATCTTTGTCAGTGACCTACAATTATGACCCTAAATGCATATGTGAAGTTTTAAATAAATATCTTTAATAGTTATTGAGATATGTAAAACTTGCATGTAAACATTAACCAAAAGACTAAGTAGAAAAGGGGATATGAATCAGCCTTAATGCAAGATAGAGTTATGGAACTTGGTCAGTGACATACAATTATGACCCTCCAATTATGACCCTAAGTGCATGTGTAAAGTTTCAAGTAAATATCTTTGAAGACCTTTAACCTTTAACCAAAATTTCTAAGTTTCAAAGGGGCAAATAATTCTGCAAATATTGCAGGCAGAGTTATGCAATTTTGCAAACTGATGTACATTGTTACTATAAAAAAGTATTTTAAATTTCAATTGAATATCTCAAGCAATAATTGAGATATTTGACTTTAGAAAAAAACTTTAACCAAAATTTCTAAGTTAAAAAGGGGCATAATTCTGTCAATATTGTAGGCAGAGTTATCCAACTTGTCAATCTGATGTACCTTGTTACTATAAATAAGTATTGTAAGTTTCAATTGAATATCTCAAGTAATAATTGAGATATTTGACTTTACAAAAAACTTTAACCAAAATTTCTAAGTTAAAAAGGGGCATAATTCTGTCAATATTGTAGGCAGAGTTAACCAACTTGTCAATCTGATGTACCTTGTTACTATAAATAAGTATTGTAAGTTTCAATTGAATATCTCAAGTAATAATTGAGATATTTGACTTTACAAAAAACTTTAACCAACGCAGACGCCGACGCGGACGCCGACGCCGGGGCGACTACAATAGCTCTCATATTCTTCGAATAGTCGAGCTAAAAATACCATAGATCAAGTAAATCATTATGTCCATGTGTTTTGTGTATAGAAAATCGTCTTTTTCGTCTTGGCAAATTGTTACATCTGAGATTGTATATGTCGGCGAATTTTCGTTGGATCTAAATGGAAAGTCCGGTAATGGTGAAAGTGGTTCTTCTACTGTCATTTCCTTTATCATTTGTGTGCAATTAAATTCCGGAGTAAATTTTTTGGCTAGCCAATTTTTTTGTCCTTGAACGATTCGAAATTTAGGTATAATTGTTGGTTTCGTGTTTAATATACATTCAAAAGGTGGTTGCCATGGTTTTACTGGTTTGATTTCGTCTAAGTCAGTTGTTCTTTTCTCCGTTTTAGTTTGGTATCTTTGCATTTCCATGCCGTGTATTTTACGGCAGTGTCTTTTAAGAATGTCCCTTCTTGTGTATTCTTGATCACAATGGAAGCATATGAACATCGTAATTGTTTTCTCATGTGTCTTGTAGTGTCGGTTGAAGTTTGATTTGGATCATTTGATGAATTTATTACATTTTGAACATTGCCGTAAATTTTTTGATATAAGTTTGAATGAATCTGCCGGTGCTGGTACTTGCTTGGAATATTTTTTCATATCTGTTATTTCCATTATTGTATTAAGTTAAGTCCGTTAGGTGATTTCGTTTTAAATAATTCAATGTAGGTTTCTTCTGTTCTAAGGCGGATGTTTATGTTCCTAGGTGTCATTGTTAGAACTGTGACGTCGACGTCTTAAATGTTGTGTCCGTTGGCGTAAAAATGTTTAGAGACAGGTTTTACGTCATTTTTATTACGTATGTCATTAATATGTCCATACAGACGTTCTACGATAAACTGTTAAAATTTTGTGCTTAGTTAAATCTGCTAGGTTAGAATCGGTTTTTAGTAAATGTTCATATTTGTTAATGATTTTGTTAATGTTAGGTAACCTTGGGTTGTTAGTGACGATTAACGGTATTATTTCGTGTGAAGAGTTGTGTTTTGTGTCATTAAGATGGTTGATTTTCGCCTTTTTGATAGCTTCTCGTATAAGTGCTTTTGGATAGCCATGTGCATGTAGATTATCGGTAAGTAGTTTGCTGCATTCCAGAAATGATTCTTCAGTGCTGCATATCCTTCTAATTCTAAGAGCTTGACTGTATGGTATACTTTTCTTTTGGTGTTTCGGATGGAACGATGTGTAGTGGAGGTACATGTGAGCATCAGTAGGTTTAGTGTATAGTGTGGTGGATAAGTTCCCATATGTATCTTTTCTGACAGTTACGTCCAGGAAGTGGATCTCTTTATCGCTGATGTCAGAGGTAAATTTTATTGTGTTGTGTTGACTGTTTAAGGCCATGATGAAGGAGTTCAACTCCTGTCGAGAATGTGGCCATATCAAAAAGATGTTGTCTATGTAGCGTCTATTTTTAAAGGTGACCACCAAAGGAACATTCCTGTGAAGTTTGGATGAAATTGGCTTAGTGGTTTATGAGGAGATGTCATTTAAAGTAAAAGTTTACGGACGGACGGACGCCGGACGGACGCCGGACGAAAAGCGATCACAAAAGCTCACCCTGTCACTTTGTGACAGGTGAGCTAAAAAGATAAAACTAGAAATGTGTCCATAGGACACGGGTGCCCCCACCGCGCCACTGTTCTGTCAATCTTATGACTCTAGGTCAAATATTTTTTGAAAACTACTAGAGTAAAGGGCAAGAACTTTACAAATACTGAATAAATCCACAAGCAAACCCCAAGGTGCATAAGTACACATGCTGAGCAACATTTTTGTAAACTTTCAGGCCTACAAGTGAAATACTTTTTGAGCTATGCATGAACAAGTTGAAAATTGCAAATTTATACTATTGTAAGTCAAGGACAATAACTCTTAACAAAACTGAAAAAATCCACATGCAAAGTCCCAGGTGCATAGCTTTACAGTGATGTGAATCATTATTCCTGTAATTTAGTGATGTTGATCATTGTTCCTGTAAAGTTGTTTGACTCTATTTCAATCACACAAGGAACAATTAACAAAATAATATCATTACTAAGTAAATGGAAATAACTCTACAAATACTGGATAAATCCACAAGCGAAATCCCAGGTGCACAACTACATATGCTGAGCAACCTTTCCGTAAGGTTTAATGACTCTATGTCAAATCCTTTTTGAGTTACATGCCACACAAGTTGAAAATTGCAAAAATTTTCTAAGTAAAGGGCAATAACTCTAAAAATACTTAATAAATCCAGACGAAAATACCCAGGTGCACAACTACACATGCTGATCAACATTCCTGTAAAGTTTCATGACTCTAGGTCAAATCCTTTTTGAGTTACATGCGACACAAGTTGAAAAATTGCAAAATTTTACTAAGTCAAGGGCAATAACTCTGAAAATACTAAAAATATCCAGACGAAAATACCCAGGTTTTTGAGTTACCTGCGACACAAAAGAGAACGGATGGACGGACGGACAAGGGTAAATCTAAATGCCCGCCACTAAAGTGGGGGCACAAAAATCTTAATATGTAATGTAATAAAATGATTAACTACACACCCATGGTATGGTAAAGGATCTTCACTATGGTAGCTTCCAGGCGGGGAAGGCGAGTCTGGTATATGATCACTATTATCAGATCTTAATCTTCCACGTGTTGCATCCGGAGGTTGTGAGGCGAGCCATCTCTCCACATCCGGCATTTCTTGCGTCGGGAGATAAGCCGGATCATAATTCTGTTCATTTCTACCTCCATGAATATTGTTTCTAACTTTTTGCACATTTTGTTTGTTTTGTTTAATCTCACGGGTCGGAACAGAATTGTTTAAAGAAATATCACTTTGCACATTTCGGTTTGAGTTTGATCTTTGTCCTTGAGAGGACTGAAGTCTGTGTTCCTCAGAAGCTTGCATAGGAGTTAAATAATCTTCTGAAGAGCCCTGACTATGAGGGCTAATATCATGATGATCATCGTCCTCGTTTCCGTTCTCCATGGAGAGAATAAAACTGTTGCGTCTGTATCTACGGTGATCGTGGTCCTGGTTACGAGGGGGTAGGGCCGGGGGCCGGTTAGCAGCTTCCTACAGGAAATACAAAAAATTTCTATATAACCACATCATTGAATATCTTACATGAATATCATACTTATAAGCTAAATCAATACACAAGTTTTATAAGATATTAATTATTCTATTCTCTATCTCTTCTATGTTGACCATACATGTATATAAATGGTTGTCTGCAATATAGTTCAAAAACCATTTATATAGGACCATATAACCTATCAAAAATCTTTATAACTAATAATATTACACAATCCAGCCTAAATAAAACTATGCTTATACTAAACCTGAGCCCTTTTTATATCTTGCTGCTGTTTCCATTTCTGTTTGGCCTTTTTTAATCTAATTTTTTCTTGTTCTTCTATAATTTGTGCCAGTCTTTTATCCTGCTCCTCTATCTCTCTCAGCTTATCTTTGTCCACTTCAGCCTTTGATCTCTGTATACAGATTTAGAGGATATTGAATGAGTGTAAGTTTAATACTGAATTTATTGAATGAGTTGAATAACTAGAAATGTGTCATCATGCCACGGATGCCCCCACATGCAGTCCAAATTTCAGATGGTGCATTAATTATTTTTTTCATTTTAAGTTCAAAGCCCTAAAAACTTCTCAATGTTAACACAAACCATTTTCATACAATGTTCAAGGCACTGAAATTATTCAGTCTTAACCTTTTAAAAATAGCATATTGCATATTTGTAGCCAACATAATGGCTAAAAGTATGAGTGCTGAAACTGAAAGTTCAAAATTTTTCCAACATAGTTTGTCTAAAATCATTGAACCACGACCAAATTCAAACTTAAACTGCTTATTCCTAAGATGTATCTATATTATTTTCAAAGTGAAAGGGACATTATCTGCCAAAAAATCATCAAACCATGACCAAATTCTAACTTGACCTGCCCATTCTTTTGACATATCCATATGTCAAATTTAAGTTGAATATGTAACACTGTTGGGTAGATAATGAACAGAAACTGTAAATTTCATATTATTTTCAAAGTAAAAGGGGCATTACTCTGCCAAAAATCATTGAACCATGACCAAATTCGAACTTGGCCTGGGCATTCCAAAAACACATCCATATGTCAAATTTGAGTTGAATGTGTTGTACCTTTGGGGAGATAATAAACGGAAACTGAAAATTTCATATTACTTTCAAAGTAAAAGGGGCATTACTCTGCCAAAAATCATCGAACCATGACCAAATTCAAACTTGACCTGTATTTTTTTCATGACATATCCATATGTCAAGTTTGAGCTGAATGTGTTGTACTGTTGGGGAGATAATGAACGGAAACTGAAAATTTCATATTATTTTCAAAGTAAAAGGGGCATAACTCTGCCAAAAATCATCGAACCATGACCAAATTCGAACTTGACCTGTATTTTCTCACGACATATCCATATGTCAAATTTGAGTTGAATGTGTTGTACCGTTGGGAGATAATAAACGGAAACTGATATTACTTTCAAAGTAAAAGGGGCATTACTCTGCCAAAAATCATCGAACCATGACCAAATTCGAACTTGACCTGTATTTTCTCATGACATATCCATATGTCAATTTGAGTTGAATGTGTTGTACCGTTGGGGAGATAATGAACGGAAACTGAAAATTCATATTATTTTCAAAGTAAAAGGGGCATAACTCTGCCAAAAATCATCGAACCATGACCAAATTCGAACTTGACCTGCATTTTCTCACGACATATCCATATGTCAAATTTGAGTTGAATGTGTTGTACCGTTGGGGAGATAATGAACGGAAACTGATATTATTTTCAAAGTAAAAGGGGCATAACTCTGCCAAAAATCATCGAACCATGACCAAATTCGAACTTGACCTGCATTTTCTCATGACATATCCATATGTCAAATTTGAGTTGAATGTGTGCAACAGTTCTTAAGATAATGAACGGAAACTGATGATGTCGGAATGACAGAAGGACGGAAGAATGGAATGACGGAACAGGGTAACACTATATGCCCCGGCCATTACATGGCGAGGGCATAAAAATATATCATGCCAGACACTCTATTTATCACATACCAAAAATAACAACTATTTGAAGTGAAAAAGAACCATTTTTCATTGACGCACCTATAGTATAACGCTAACATTTAGTGCATGCATTTTAACACTATTTAAATCTATTTATAAGCTCAGTGGTCTACACCTTTGTGTATATTTGCGTGTAAGCCAGTGGTCATGAGTTTGAATCCACCTTGGGAATGAATTCTCCAAATGAACTTTCAGCTAGTGTGACAAATTTAACACTCCTTTTCTGTTAGCCAATACTGTACTACCACTGCAGAATACAGCCTCTTAACACACCAATCATATGTGTAAAATGAATGAATGCAGAGGAAATTTCTTACACTTAAACTTGAACTCAAAGGACCTCACCATCGTAATGCTTAAGAGCTACCACAGGACTAATGCTCCTCAGTAAAGACAAACAAAATAAAATATCAAAATCTTCCAAGTTTTTCTTCACAAATCCACAATTTACTCTCCACAAATCCACAATTTTCTCACTATAAATCCACAATTTACTCTCCAGAAATTCACAATTTCCTCTCCACAAATCCACAATTTACAGGGTTACATTACCTTATGTTCTTGTTCCTGTAGAAGTCTTGCCAATTCCTCGTCCTGCATTTCTTGCAGTACTTGTCTCTGGGCAGGGTCTACATTTTCTGGTAGACAGTAAAAATCTGAGAAATCACCATCATCCTCAATCTTACCACCTGGAGTCACCCTGAATAATAAAGTGATCATATCTATGATATTTAATCTTTAATAGTGCATGTTTGTAACTACTAACTAGGGGTGTCATAGTTAGAAAAAATGTTTAAATAGCGACATATTAACCGTATTAAACTTTTAACCAACTGTTCTAATAAATCCTTAGATTTTCCACATTAACTTTGTTTCTTTATGACAAGATATGTCATTTTGTTCATATTTTGTTGTACTCAAAATGATTACAATACATTTCCTAATATGGAGTAGCTATTTTCCACTAGGGTCAAACCATAATTATTTGATCAGATCGGAATAAATACATTGTTAAGTACATCTAAAATACAAACAATTGTCATATTTTGTCATAAAAAACTAAGTTAATATTTAGAATCAATTTAAAACTTTTCTGCCCCTAAGTCAAATACAAAACGCAGTTACCGGTTATTGAATTCTCTAACCGGTTTTAAGCTAAAAACCGACCGTATAAATGTGACACCCCTGTTTGTAACACAGCTTTTCATTGGATAATCATGACGTTTATATGATTTTATAATTATACACTGCTGCTGTAAATTTATGAAGAAATCTCACTTTTTTGTCTAAGAAAGGAAGTTTGCTGTATTCAAAATTTATCATAAATATTCCTGACAGGTTATATGACCATATATAAATGGTTGTTTGCAATATAATCGTCACCTTAAGTGGCATGGGTTATATATACAAGCAAATGCTTATATAGGGCCATATAACCTGTCAAAAATTTTTTATAACTTATAATATATGGCTGTAACAGTTTACCACTATAAATGAACAGTAATTGCTAGTAACTGATGCAATATGATGACACCTATAAACTCCTCATTGGTTAATCTCGGCATATTTTGGGGAAAAAAAAAGATGGGCCATTCAACTTGTATTGTATTTTATATAAAATTTAGTATACATGTGCATTACAAGTTATTTTTCATACCAAAAGTATCAAATAATAACAACTATCTATTGCGTTTAACCACGACATTAAAATTTCTTTGCTTTTTGCTTTTTTTTTAAAAAATGATTTTAACTCTTCATTGGATACTCTCTGCACATTTTCAATAAAAAAATTAAGATGGACAATGAAGTGGACAGGTCTTACCATAAGTATTTCAAATAGTGATAAAAACAAAAGAAATATTTTATTTAGATATTCCAATTTTATACTTATAAAATACTGCTTGAAGAAGTTCTAAGTGGTTTTAGAATTACATATTTATCTGATGAATAATATTTTGTTCTAGAACATTCTATTATCTGCTATATAAAAATAAGTAATATCAGATCATGTATCATTCTCACACTTGTCAACAACTTCAAAGTATAATTATTTCATGGTTTGTTGTTATGTGTAATCACTAAATACTAACCATTCAACATAATCATTCATTGTATTACAGACCTACCATTAAAGACCAATTAACTTTAAACTGGTATTTTATCAAATGTAAAATTCACGTTCAACATGATTTTTTTTTTTTGCACCAAAAGTATCAAATAATTAAACAATGTAATTCAGGTGCCCCTCCGTGCATTATTTTTTCGGGCAATAGCGGGCAGCCAAGTAGAATCATCAATGTTCCACCAGCTGTAAGCTGGATAGTTTGCGCACCTCAAAGAATTGGGATCCAAACCCACAGCGGTGAGGAGCAAGTGGTTTGAAGTTAACCACCTTAACCACTCGGCCACGGACACCCCAAATGAATTTATAAAACTGCTAATTAATAAGATAATTTGTTGAGTGACCCTAATGAGTCATAATACAACAGTTAAATACTCTAATTACCAGTACAATGTTTGTTTTAAATTTATCTCGAAAATGAAAATTAAGACAATATTAAATCAGTTAAATCACAAGTTCAACTTGTATACGCTGTATAAAACAGTTCTCACACTCACAGCCACTCCCATCTTAATTGAAAAACAAAATTAACTTCCTTTTAAATTTACTTCCTTTATGTATCATCAATGACTGGTTACGAGAGTAAAATCTATAGCAAGTTAAGGAGGGCCTGTGAATCATGTACGACAGTAAGAATATATTTTTCCTAAAACGTGTCTTTATATAATTATGTTAATTTTGAAATTTTCAAATTGTTAACAATATTCTTATACTATGAAATGACATGTTAACATACTGTGTTTAAAGGCCCATTGTGCCCAAGAAATTCTTTTTACTTTTTTCATTTCTTCAAAGCTTTTTTTTTGTGATTTTATGTTTTCCAAACAAATATTCTGATTGGGGAATAACCTTAAAATTGTCTTTTTCTTCTGTTGCTTTGTGGCAATTGGAAAATGTTTCATGATTTATTATTTTGTATGGAAGTCAAAATACAACTTTTTATAAATTTTCCTACTTTAATGACAAATAATTTACATTAAGCAATACTAGTATCTAAGATGCTCTAAAACCAGTAATTTAAACACTGTAAGTTTCCTAAAAGATTGAAAATTTATTCATTTTTGAGATATAAAAAATTGTTTATACCTCAGAAATGAATAAATTTTTATTTCTAAATTTTATATAATATAAAAAAAAATGCTTTAAAAACATATAATTGTCAGAGATAGTCTATATCAAATTTAATTAACTAAGAAAACTAATTAAAGCAATTATAAACAGGCATATCTATTGTGTACGATAATCAATAACTGTATAAGATGGAAGAAAAAACCTGTCACCAAGAAATACAGGAAACTAGGAAAGATAGACTAATAAAGTGACAAAATGTGGCTAAACAAGAAAATACATAGAGCAAACATAAATTAACTTAAGAAACTGAAAGCAGGCAATATTAATTATTCAATTTAAAATATTTCTGCAATGTTAAATAAAACTAAAAGCATATGCCTGTAATACAACTAGTCTTAGTCTTATCAGTTAAATATACAAAATAAAGTTTACTGTTACAAAAACCAAAGTTCTAATCATTTGAAATCTCAACTTAATAAAATGCCGATACAAATTTCAAACATAAATTCCCCAAAAAGTCCATGCCAAAATTTAAGAATTAAAATAATACAATTCTTGATAGCTGAACGTATAAATCAATGATTTGAAAAATCAACTGTCAAATGTTAAATGTCAAATGTCTTAAGTTGATGAAAATTAACTTGTATGAAATAAGCTAGTAAACTCAAAGTCTCCTGGGTCTGAGGTTATAAAGAAATTCTCTAAGCTCAGGACTCTGATTGGTCAGAAACTCCCACAGAATGTACACTGACCAATGAAAATCCTCGAGACAAGACTCAGGAAACAGTTATATAACCTTGAGGTGGCTACAGCATCTACCCATATAACAAGTTCACCAAGTTCATCCAGAAACCTCAGGCAGTACATATTTTGGAATTTTTCCTTTAAAGCAGCACGCCTCCAGATACATGCTAATTTTCATGAAAAATTTGAAAATTAATTACAAAAAGTAACAAATTGTGAAGTAACCAAATGGAAGCAATTAACACATTATCAATGACACTTAAATTACCAAATAAAGATAAAAGTAAGCAAAAATAGCCTTCACTGTGTTAGTAACGCAGTAAAAATATAGCTATAAATACTGGAAAATTGGTCATTAATCGCAAATAACAAGTAAATTATTACTTGAACCTTGTACCTTTTTTTACTTTTCTTAAAATCTAAGTACATTTTTCTCAAGTTTGATTCTATTAAAATACTTTCGCTCATCTGGAGGCATGCTGCTTTAAAATGAAAAATGATTTGTCTATATTGTAAAGACGGACCAGTCCATTTTAGATATTAAGTGGGGTAAGGGTTGAAAAAGTGCATTTACCCAGTAAAGGTTGAAACAAGAAACATGGCAATGCCATGAAACCAGGTTTTCAATTATCACCATTGTAGATAAATATGTTGTATTTGAAATACAAATACAAGCAAACAAACAATGTAACTATGTGCAATGTAAAACATGAATAATGTAGGAGGAATTGCCACTGAAGAAGTGTTCACTATAATATTATGTATAAGGAAAAAAAACAAAGGGCCATAATTAGGTCAAAAACTATCCAATCACAAAACCCCGACAATATGTGCCAGGGTGCTTGATGACAAAGCTTCTGTGAAAGTTTGAAACAAAATCCGTTGAGAAATGTAGGACGAGTTCAGCACAGAAGAATTGTTCACTATAATTATATGATAATTCTGTATAATGAAAAACAAGTTACAAAGTAGACATGAAATAATATATCATATCTTTTTTAAATTACCTCCAAAGATGATATGACCTTTGACTGCCAAATCAAGTTAAAATCATGTAAACAGGATTTTCAATGTTAATGTCACTGTGACCTTGACCTTGGAGCCAGCCATGCGGAACATGCGTTCTGCACGTCATCTTGATGTGGTAAACATTTGTCTGAAGTTTCATCAAAATTCTTCAAATGGTTGAAAAGTTACAGAGCGGACAGGATTTTCAATGTTAATGTCACTGTGACCTTGACCTTGGAGCCAGCCATGCGGAACATGCGTTCTGCACGTCATCTTGGTGTGGTAAACATTTGTCTGAAGTTTCATCAAAATTCTTCAAAGGGTTGAAGAGTTACAGAGCGGACAGGATTTTCAATGTTAATGTCACTGTGACCTTGACCTTGGAGCCAGCCATGCGGAACATGCGTTCTGCACGTCATCTTGGTGTGGTAAACATTTGTCTGAAGTTTCATCAAAATTCTTCAAAGGGTTGAAGAGTTACAGAGCGGACACAATTTCGTTTGACGCCCGCCCATCCGCCCATCTGCCCAGCCGCCCATCCGCCCATCCGCCCGCCATACCCCAATCTAATAACCAGGATTTTCAAAATTGAAAACCTGGTTAAAAAGTGCATTTACCGAGTAAAGGTTGAAAAAAGTGCATTTAGCGGGACAACAGTTTAAAAAAAAGTGCATTTAGCGGGTCAACGGTTTAAAAAAAGTGCATTTAGTGGGGCAATAGTTTAAAGAAAGTGCAAGAAGGAAACTATAAGTGTGAACTATATGTTAGTACGGTTAAACCACTACCTGGTATTATACCTCATAGCTACCCCCCCATTCTGTACATTCATCTCCGCCATACGATCATCTAGATCTTCCGTACTCCCTGAAATTGTTTCAAGTACATGTTTATCTATACATGTATATATATACATTATTATATTATTTTTTTTTTACAATTCAATACTTCTAATATAAAAGAGTAAAAGAATATTTTTCTGGCTGCACAACTTCATATTTTTACTTTTCCCGCACTTTTATAATGTTACGTCATTGTTATATTTGTTATATGACAATATTAAACATTACTGAAGATATGTAGTTACTCACTTTCTGAGTGAGTTCAAACACCATCATAGGCAAGAAACAAAATTTCTGTTTATTTTGTGGGCATGAAATATTGTGGTTCTGTCAGAATAGACAATTATCTGGGTTCTTAAATTCTCAGATTGTCTGTTATTGCAAAAAAAAGTAAAATGCAAATAATGTATTAAAACTAATGTACGTGTTCAGCAGGCAAAATAATAGCAGATATATAGCTCGTGATAAATACAGCAAAACCAGTCATTAATGGCAAATAACATGTAAATCATTACTTCAATCTTTGGATATTGTTTTACTTTTCGTAAAATCTTAGAACATTGTTCTTAAGTTCAAATTTCTTGAAATATTTTTTACTCATCTGGAGGCATGCACCTTTGAATCATATATTCATATTTTCATGCTTTTATTAAAAATCTAATAGCTAAGAAAATAACTTTAGTTTGGCTTATTTGCAACTAATTAGACCATCAGTGTTTTTTTATTGTTGTTGTTGTTTTTTCAATATCCTTACCTCTAACATTCAGCCTGGCCTCTTCGGTCCTCTGAGCCTGTGTTTTCTCAATCTTTTCTCGTTCCTTTTTTAATTTTTGCAACTTTTTCTTTTCTAAGTGTCTTTCGTATTTTTGTTTTTCTTTCTCTTGTATTGCCTTGGCATATTCCTTATAAATACGGGAAAAAAAACATAATAACAGGTGATAGCAATAATACATGGGGAAACCCTTTACTTTGATTATTTTTTATGATGAAATTGTCTCCTATTTTTGAATTTAGATCAGTCTATTAGTTATTAAGAGAAGGGTCAGTGTCAACACATTAAAATATGTTAAAAATGGTGCTATGGGCAGTTTTCACTCCGGATCATGGCAGTAAGCCACACTGAATTTACCACAGCACAGTTCAGCCACCGCATCGTTCCTAGGCATGCTGTCAAGCAGTTTATCAGTAGTAGTACTTCTGTACATGCCAGAATAGAGGTACAAAGTCAAATATTAAAATAGCCATATATTATATATATCAATTTTAGTTATTTCTTTTAGAATGTAATATGCAAGAAAAGGAATCAAACAATCGCTGTCTTTACAGACAGTAATATCTAGCTCTCAGGTAAATATAAAGTGAAAACTCGGCAGAGCCTCGTTACTGCCGTAAAGAGTTATCCTTGAACTAGATATAAATATAAACAAGAGCGATCAGTAATCACATGTGTCGCCTCATGATGGCCAATTTCATGTTGGGACAAATTTTGTGACAGACGGACAGACAGACAGACAGTGCACAACTAGACTTGGTACTGATCATTCCTGTAAAGTTTGGATAAAATTGCACCAGTAGTTTATGAGGAGTAGTACGGACAAGCTTTTGCGTATCTGGCAACACACAGAAAAAAAAACACCTTTTTATCAAAGGGCCATAACTTGGCCAAAAATCATTCAACCGGAAAACCCGTGCAATATGCGCAAGGACTTGTGCTACAGATCAATCCTGTAAAGTTTCATTGAAATTGCATGAGTGGTATAAGAGAGGTAGTCCGGACAAACTTTAAAAATAAAAATTATTAAAGGGCCATAACTCTGACAAAAATCATTGAACCGGAAAATGCTGACAATATGCACAACTAGACTTAGTACTGATCATTCCTGTAAAGTTTGAATGAAATTGCACCAGTAGTTTATGAGGAGTAGTCCGGACAAGCTTTTGTGTATCTGGCAACACACAGAAAAAGAAACCTTTTTATCAAAGGGCCATAACTCGGCCAAAAATCATTCAACCGAAAACCCGTGCAATATGCGCAAGGACTTAAGCTACAGATCAATCCTGTAAAGTTTCATTGAAATTGCATTAGTGGTATAAGAGAAGTAGTCCGGACAAACTTTAAAATTAAAAATTATTAAAGGGCCATAACTCTGACAAAAATCATTGAACCAGAAAATGCTGACAATATGCACAACTAGACTTGGTACTGATCATTCCTGTAAAGTTTGGATGAAATTGCACCAGTAGTTTATGAGGAGTAGTCCGGACAAGTTTTGTGACGGACGGACGGACGGACAGACGGACGTTCTCACAGGACAGTAATTATGTGGCTACTCTATTGTTCTCTCTATTGTTCTTTTAGCCACGCAAAAGAAAAATAGCCACATAAAAGCATTACGGAATGAATGACATCAAAGAGAACCTATTGTCCTTCTAGCCACATAATTACTCTCCTGTGAGTGCGGACAGACAGACGACGGAGAAGTGATCCCTATATGTCGCCACTACTCCGTAGAGGCGACACAAAAAAAATCATATTTTGTCCATTGTATTGTATAAATTATTGACCCAAAAATGGCTGCCGCTTTTGGCAAGGGAGGTAAATATTGTAAAATCGGGAACTATCTATGGCAGGACTGGAACACACTGGGAACTGGGATACAAGTTATTTGAGGTCAATGACCTTTAATTTTTACCAATGGAGGTCCCCAAAACCTTTATCAAGTAATTGCATACCTCATCAGTTAGTTCCCTTGCCATTTTTCGTGCCTCATTCTGTAATTGGTCCTGCTCCATCAACTCTTTGGCAATATGCTGATAAATAAAAATTAACAATTTTAATTTAGATAAGTAAATTTTAGCTTGTGATAAAAATAGAATCTAATCCACTTTCAAAAACATAACGGCAGTCATTGATTGGCTGATTTAAAGGTCAGAAGAAGGTAACCTTCTATTGGTGATAGGCAAATCTTTCAGCGTAGCCCATTTTAGGAGCTGAATTTTATCAAAACTGACTAGGTCATTGTGTTCTTTTGTGTTAATCAGGCCACTCAGTGACTATGGGCAGGTACTCGAGGAACAGATATACTTATCTGAATGGAAAATGCATGTAAGGTATTTTTTCTTGGATATTCTACCATATTTTATCATATTTTAAATTCTTTTCCTCAATAATTTTTTTTTTTTCACGGACATCAATGTCAAGAAATTATTGTCTTACTAAAGTATATGAATTTACAACTTTATTCATAAAAGCAAAATGACATCATTCTAAGCATGCAGTTCCATTCTAAAATATGCAGAAATGATGTCATTTTAACAAGGTTCATGCATTTAAAAAAAAAATGGTCGGGTTTTCAGTTGAACCAACACAATGTATAGGTCATATGCCGACTTTCCAGCTTTACAGAAAGAGGAAGCCAGGTTCATTCAGGTGCTCTTTCGTGCATTATTTTAGGAACAAACAGGCATCTAATGAAAGAATCCAATGTCCCTGTCAGGATTCGAACCCACAGCTATGAGGAGTTGAAGTGGTTTGATGTCTATGACCATAACATCCCGGCCACAGCTGCCAGGTTCATTCATAAATTGTGCTAAAATGACGCCATTGTGTAGCATGCGACTCATTTGTCACCGCATACCAGATAATATTTCCAGCACAGGAAAACTAATGGAAACACCAGTTTGATATGCAAGAAAAACCAGTCTTATATGCAAGAAATACCAGTCTGATATGCAAGAAATACCAGTGAAACAATTAGATTCCAAGCCAGCCAATCTGCATTTCTGTAAACACAAAAGAATTCATTCCTTAAATTGGTTTTAATTATTTACATGATAACATTAAACAATGTCGTAATATATTTTATGTTTCACCTCATCTGTGAGTTCAATAGCCATTTTACTGGCCTGATTCTGTAACTGTTCTTGTTCCATTAATCTCTTAGCAACTTTTTCATCTTCCTCGGCCCTGAAATCAAGTTATCACATCATTCAATAATTCTGTTGTGTTAAAATTAGCACTTATATTACGTAATATCCTCTAATGAACAAAGAAACAAGAGCTGTGGGTAAGGCAGTGAGCTTGACTATTCTCAGAAACTTCTGACAGTAAGTAAAAGGGGCATAACTCTTTTAAAAATGGTAACTCACGAGAACCTGTAGATCTACTTATTATTTAGATAACCACAGAGAACAAATGTTTGAAGTTTTAAAACATTCCCTTCTGTAGTATTGGAGCCACCAACTTGTATGTAAAATCTTAACCAAAGAGTTTGGCCAGGAATGAGAACAATATGTCACCTTGGTGGAATAACTGGTTAACTCCTATTAAATTTAGAAGGAATCAACTGGTTACTGCACTAAAGTGACAAATAGCTCTCCCAGTCAGCTACTATAAATAGCATTTATTTCACTAAAAAATTATCAACCTTCAATACACCTCTTTCTTTTTTACATGTACAAATCCCCCCCCCCCCAGAATAACTTTTCCAACTTCTACAAATACAAATAAAATACATAATGTACATACTGCGCTCTTAGGGCCTGTAACTCCTGGAATCTTTCATTTTGAAGCCGCAATTCCTCGTCAGACTGTACGACTTTAGCTAATGGAATGTCTTCACGTACAGTCCGTCGATTGAAGCGGTTCAATCCATAATGACGATCAACTATAAAACAAACATAAACATTATTTGAGCCGCGTCACGGCAAAACCAACACAATGGGTTGGCGACCAGCATGGATCCAGACCAGCCTGCGCATCCGCGCAGTCTGATCAGGATCCATGCTGTTCGCCATCAGTTTCTCTACTTGTTATAGGGTTTGTAAGCGAACAGCATATAGAAATAGAAAGATCAATAATGGCTTGTATATCTCAATGGATGGAGAAAAGATTTAAAGATCTTAGACAAATCTGGGCAACTTTTAATATTAACATAATTACAATCTTCAATATTAAAACCAGACTCATCATTGAAACCTTTCTTTATAATTATATAACTATAAAATTGAGGAATAAGGATAAACACAGGAGTGATAAGGTGTAAACTCTCCAGTAGAAAAGGGGAGGGTTACAAGTACGTAACAGTCTGCCCGCCTACTGATAGCATGGGGAGGGGCAAAAACTCTTCAGTAGAAAAGGGGAGGGTTACAAGTACGTAACACTGCCCGCCTACTGATAGCATGGGGAGGGGCAAAAACTCTCCAGTAGAAAAGGGGAGGGTAGTACGAAACACTGCCCGCCTACTGATAGCATGGGGAGGGGGAAAAACACCTCCAGGAGAGGCAGAAGCAATTATTTTGGTTGGGTTTTACAAGTACATCACAGTATTCACACTGATGCTGTTTAGGTGACATGGCAAATTTCTATTATTCCTGGTGGACAAATTAAGACCTACGATATTCCTCAATGCAATTTTGTTCTGACAAGACCTGCCACCGCAGTAAAACCAGCCATCTTCCCTAGATTGATATCTTATATTCTCCCACACAAGAAAGTATCAAGACTCGTGGGCGGATTTTATTTCCTGATTTTCACGAGTCAAAACCCGTAGACCCGTGTCAATCGAGAGCCTTGATTCAAGAGTCAGGCTTTTTTATCTGGTGAGGCTGGAATGCACAGCTGTGGGTCAGCCATTGACATAGTTAGATTGTGAAAAACAAAGGCAAACAGTATAACATACTTTCTTCATTCTGCAGTTGATGAGCAAATGCCCCATCCTCGTACACTGCCCACTCTTGTCGTACTGAAAATACAGAAACCATATTGTTACCTATTTGTCTATGTCATGTAACAAAAAATAATTAACACAGTAAATAACACGAATGAGTTCTTCTGTAATACCATTAAACAACAAAATTTCATTGAATCATAGACTACGCATAAAAAGTGTTATATTGGTAATAATTGATGAAAAACACTAAACAGTCTATCTTACATGGACAGTGCGTGAACAAAGAAAAATATATAACTATATTATTGTAACTGCTGTATCAAATGAAAATATAGGTTAAACTAAAATCAGTGGAGCCTAAAAATAGTACTAAGGTCACATCATTTCAATCAGAATTGACTTCTAACTGTTGCTTTAAAATTACTACAAAATAATTCTAAACAAAAGCTCAGCAATTTAATCGCACAAAAAAAGTTGTGTGATAAAGGCCAGCCTTAAAATTATCTTAATTGTTTCACCTCTCGCAATAATGTCAATTTGGGCAGGTAGGTCATTTTTGTAATGAAAAATTATTGTAGAAATATCATTATTGACCATAATTATATTTTTATATCTGAATCATATGGGCTTTGATATTTAATGTTGAGAATGCTTTATAGCATATTTATAAAGTTTAGAACTATTTAGTTTTATTCAACCTATAACCCAGATTTGAAGATATGATTCTGATTGAAAGACTGACAGCCTCCGTGTTTATTAATTAAAGGAGAAAAAAAATCATTATATTGGCAATAACAATTTTAGGGGTACATGTAGGTAGCGGGAGAGGAAACAATATTTTATTTAACGCCTAAATGCTGTAAGAATTGTTATGTACTTCAGACAGTTTTCATCATATAAAATACTGTTATTAAAGTATTATACTAGTTCATAGGGCTTGAGGGCATTTATTAATCACAATAATTATGGTTAAACTTTGAAAGTGCATTGGCTTATATTAAAACATCATTGATAAACCCCATTCAAAATCATGGGATTCAATATAAACAACACATTACATTTGAATTCAGAAATGGATTTAATGAAATGTACGTCAAAGCTAACCATGCAAGTATCTAGATTCTTGCAATGCATTTTTATGAATATTAACTAATATTAATTTTATGAAATTCTGTTAGTAAAAAATACTTCTAACATACAAATATAGTGATTGAATTAATTGTAAACACAGTCATATTTGAATTTATATATATCTATAATGCATAAAGATCTGATGTATGCAGAAATACACAAATTATTCTATTATATTATTATTAAAGATATAAACATTTTTCTTCAGTTCATTTGTAATCATTTGTGATCATTTGTAATAATGTAATTGTTTACTGATATGGAAGTATATACAAGTAACAACTTTAACCCTTTTACAGTACATAAATAAAGAAGCATGTTGGGAGTATAAAATGTACTTCCGTATCATAAACAACACAGCTAGAACATGCTCAACAGAACAACATGTTCATGTCATGTAAACAAGAACATTCACTTAGTAATTAACATGATCGTTTAACCACAATGTAACAAGTTGTTGTACATGTAAATCTGGTATGTTATAGTGCCATAGGGGATAAATTAGTATACAAGAGAATGTAATTGACTCTTAATTGCCAATGAAACAAAACAAAAAAATGACTCAAGAGTTTTAGCCATTTCCCCTTCTGTTTTGTATACTTAAGATATTTTGTTATGCTAAAGGCTGTTGTTGTTTTCAAAGATTGTGTGGCCACTTCAAATAAACACACACTGTTGCCAATTTGAGATTAGGCATCTGACCAAGATTATGTGGTCACTTCAACAAACACATTTTGCTAACTATACATGTAGATCATCTACAAGTATATGATAATGAATAAACTGCAAAATTGTCTTAGAAGTCGTAGGGTGAAGGTCAAGATCATAATGACCTCCAAATACTCAATATTAATCATAGCCATTAAATGGAAGATCTTCCCTCCTTATTTATCAATCTGTGAGCGAAAATTTCATGTCCATGTTTGTTATTATATTTCAACTGCTAAATTACATGTACTTGAACTACATTTAATTCACAAGTCTGACCAGTTTCTTATATTGTCAGGGCTTTTTTTTTCACAAGTTGGGGAAGCAGTCCTGCCCTTAATTTTGGGGAAAAATTACAGGGTATATTTGCAAAAGGGGAAGGAAAAACTTGATGTAAATTCAATTTTGGGGGAAAACTGTACGATTTTAAAGAATTTTTCTTTGGGGAAGCAGCCCTATTATAACCGGTCCCTGCTAAAGTAGGGAAAGAAGCCCTGATTGTAGCTAGAAAATATAGGATGTCACAAATTGAGGGCTTTTGAATAAATTGTTACAACATTAAAATACACAATCACGTATTAAATACTGTAATTTAATTTAAATGTGCACAAAAGAAAGATAATTAAGCCGTTAATCAATCAGATACCTACATGACATTGTACATACATACATGTATATGTATGTATATTAACAATCAAATCTTAATTTAGAATTATGATATTATTAATAATAGTCTCAGTCTGTATAAACAGTGACTGAAATTCTTGAATACCATATTGACATCTTACATTGTATATCAGTATATCATTGTATATCGGTTAATCTGTTCTCTCTGTATATACATTGTACATGTATATTTCCACACTTATTTCAAATATTAAACTTACATATAGTTATTTGATGCCATGGAAACAATAGAATTTCTTTCTTCTCTTTATTAATTTCTTTCATGTTTTAAATGATCTAAGGAAATTTGAATCATAATGATGATTATACCAAGGAAAGTTTTTTTCATACTTATCATATTCCTCATAAGGCATGGATATTTCACAATCTAGCATGATTAGCTATTAGTTTTTAATGGATATGATAGTATGATAGTATATGTAAGGAAAGAAATCAAAAGCAAATTTCACATCTCAAAGCAATCACAACCAATATTCACACATCAAACAATCACTGCTACTACTAGTTTTACACCTAAAAACACTCACAACCAATATTTACACTTCAAAACAGTTACAACCAATATTTTGACCCTTTATAAACAATCACAACCAATAGAACACCTCAAAACAATCACTACTACTAATAATAATTTTATACCTCAAAACAATCACAACTAATATTTAAACTTCAAAATCAAAACAGTTACAACCAATATGACACTTAAAAACAGTCACCTAGTGACCTAGTTTTTCATCCGAGATGACCCATGTTCGAACTCACCCGGGCAATTACATAGAAAAGCATCCTGACTAAGTCTGATGACAATTAAGTAAAAAATGTGACCACTACAGTTTTAACAAGGTTTTTCAATATTTGGGCGTTTTGACCTAGTTTTTGACCTAAGGTGACCCATTTTCAAACTTGACCTAGAAATCATCAAAACAAACTTTCAATACAATTTCCAGGATATTTGGATCAAAACAGCAGTATCCACTAGAGTATTAACAAGATTTTTCTATTTTCAGCTCCTGAGATGACACATATTCAAACTCATCTGAGCAATTACCTAGACAAGTATCCTTACAAAGTTTGATGATGATTAAGGCAAAAATGTGCTTGCTAGACGGACATTCAACGATCCTTAAAGCTCACCCTGTGCAAGCTACAAAAAAAGCCTCAAAACAAAACCATCACATGGACCTGGTAACGATGAATCCAAGATATAAACACTGCTCAGTTCCTCAGTTATCCCAAGCACTGCCCCAGGCCTGAGATGTGAGGAATACTGTTTTATGTGGCATAATGTATTAATAAAAACAAAGTCACAAAAATACAAAATATTCTAGCACAATCTATTCAAAAGTGCAAAAAAAAAACTTCACAAGCCAAACTTAGTATCTGTATTTATTAAACCAACAAAACCTACCTCCAGAATGTGCAAGACTGTTTGTTTTAAAAACTGCAATTGAAAATCTAAATTTTAACACAAAACTTCACGGTTTAGCTGTATATATTTTGTTTGTTTGTTTCATTTTACGCCTTTTTCCAACAGTATTTCAGTCATATAGGTGGGTAGTTTCCTAACCATCGTTCCTGGAGAGTTACACCAGTACAAGACTACCTTCCTCCGTGCTAAACTACCAAAGCATCTCCCGGGGATCGAACCCACGCCAGAGAGGTAACTGGATTAGAAGTCATCGACTCTAACCCCTCGACCACGGAGGCGGCTACTAGCTGTATATATAAAAGGCAAAAAGGCCTGAAATGGTTACACTTTACAATTCCTCATTCACTTATTTATTGTCACTCTAGACAATTTCTCAATCATAATTCAGACAGGGAAGACAAAGCAACTCCTCTCTCCTGTTTTTATAAAATGGGGACAACTCTTTAATTAAGTATTCTTCAACCTAGACAATTTCACATTTGTATTTTCAAAACTGTAAAAGTTACAATATAAAATCTTAAATCATTGCTGTAGTGCATAATAAACAAATCAATATGTTTTTCTCTTGATTGCCAAAAAATTTGGATATATAAATAATTGTCAATCATTTATCATTGTCCATTGTGCAAAGCATCACTGCTCAAAAAGTAATACTTTGAAAATTCTCCTTAAAGATCCTGTATGTTTTGTGATTGATATTGTTACTGTGTGTATACCACACTTGCAAAAAATTATATAAGTATATAATTATGCAAATAAAACAATTTTCAAACATCGAAGAATATGTGTACCGCAAATATTGTTGCACATCATATTTAATCAATAAATTTTATGCATTCATTTCTTATGGAAAATTTGACTTAGAATTCATAGAAACTAAATTTCCAATTACCTCCCTTTATTTACATGAAATATTAAATTTGGTAATATCTTTATAAATAATGCTTACATGTATTGGAAATTACAAAATTGACAAATCTTAATTTGAGCATCATATTCATGAAATAAAACCATGACAAAATTGTGTTACAGGATCATTTACTTTCATTATCAAATTTACATATCAGGTGCATTGTACTTGATAGGAATGTTGCACTTGGAACTCTTCCTAAATAAAAGAAAAAGCTTGTGATATTTTGTCATTCATTTTTTTTATAACGAAACAATAAGAAAATAAAAAACAAAAATTGTAACTCTATGGTATTTGTCATGTTTCAGATGTCTACATTCATAATGCCAAACCCAATTTTTTTTTTAAAATAGCTTATAAATGCAATGCTATGAAGCTTTTTCAGGGTTCTCGGGGACGCTTATTTCGGCGTCCCGGTACACATGTTTATAACAGCTGGACGCAAATATTTCAGAGCAAGGATTCCATGTACGCTTAATTTTGCCTGGGGACGCATAAACATTACCGATTGTTTACAACCAGAAATACACAAATGCGTCAGCGCGTGTCAGTCTATAGGTAGGCGGTCCTATGCACATCGACCCATGAAGCGATTAGCCAATCAGCGATAACGCTTCCGATCATAATCATGCTATAGTGATCAGACTAATTAAATGTATACACGCGCTGTACAGTGAGTACATGTAATTCAGATATAACACAAGGTGATAGATCAACAGTTGATTGGAAATAAGCAAATTTTATCGACAAAAGGATAAAATTATCGACTATTTACGCCGCAAGTTTAAAGACTGTTTTCTCAATTACAAATGAGTGTAATTTGAATGATTGTCGAATATGTTCGGCATAATAATGATTGTCGATTATTTTCGGCATTTTCTAGGCACAATTTTGCTTTAGTTTCATTCTTGCAAAATCGTTCTATAAGAGTATTAAGAATTTAAGATATTGTGCCGAAATGCCAGGTACACATACTAATGACATAGGCTTTTCTTTGATATTTAGATTCTATCCGAAAATTGATCCGAACATCGGCGATTTCACGTTCGCCAGAAACCCTAAAATTTCGCAAAAATTCTTGGTTTCCAAGCCAAACATGCGAATGAATTGTTCCTTTATTATTTAATTAACATTAACATTAAATCTTTAAATATCGATCTTCAATTTGCCCCCTTTTGAAGATATTTGCTAAAATAATTATTTCAATTGATGTTATTTAACTGCAACCAAACGCTATTTTATCTTGACGTCTTGAGACAAAGTACATTCTTTACCGTAGCCAACACGTCAATTAATCTCTAAAAAGTAAACATTCTTGACTAAAATCCTCGCTTAAAGTCATAATTAACATATGCACTTTCGCCTTCCATATATTTTTTAAAAGTGCCGTACGGCTAGCCAATACAGTGTGTCCTGGCTAGTCGTACATGACTCACATACGGCTAGAACTTTTGGCTCGCCACACGCGACCGTACGGCTAGCCACTTCCTTTAGTATTATACTTGACAGAATCCACCCATGTAAAGTACTTTACTTTACTTTTACTTTATCCATCATAGGGTCGCGAGATCAGAAATCTCTTATAACCCCCTCGAGGTTCATTGGTGCCCTAAAATATTAAGTGGCCCACCAGCATTTAATGTATATAATATATACCTGCTTAGGGTGATCGTAAAAAGGTTTTAAAGTGCTCAGTATGATGTAGAACTAGAAAAGTTTGGATTTTCGTTTGTTTAGAAAAGTTTGGAATTTCGTTTGTTTATCAATTTTAAGCAGTGCCAAAAAATTTTCTAAAGAAATTTACCTTGTCTTACTTTCCCGCGAATCGGCAGAGTATTTTTAGCATTTTCTGACTTTCCACCCTCTGCCATTATTTAAATATCTAACTCATTTCAGTTGAAATATTTTTATTTTGACAAAACAACATGACTCATCCGGAAGAGCCCTTACTTCCGGTTTCATTCGAAACAAAACTAAATGCCGTCCTATCGCGGCATGTACTTATCCGGTAATTCCCGGTCTCTCCCGGATTATTTTGACCGGGATTTACTAAAGAATGGAAAAAAATCTTTAAAACATTACATATAAAGAACAGTGGTGAACGTAGCGAATGGTTGTCCAGCCAGACTTATTATGATATTTCGTATATAATTGCTTCTTATAGTCCCGTGTAAAAAACTTAAATGCTGGCAGTTATATATACTGTCTATTTGCTTGTGGACAGCGACATATGGTTTTTATTGGTTTGAAAGTGTTACCAACCGATTTATTAGATAAAAATCTTACAAACAAGTCATTTTTATAAAAATATATTGATACTTATTACGAGTATTTAGGAAAATAGATATATCGTGTGCTTTCCGGTCCTGCTAAGATACATGTACATTACCGGATAGCAATATTGTTTATAAAAGTTATGCATGGATACTTTATTTTATTGGTTTGAAAATGTTACCAATCGATATATTATATCAATATTTTTCAGACAACATGTTTTTATAATTATAATATTATTATTATTACGTTTGATTTGGAAAATAAGATATATCGAGTGCTTTCCGGTCCTACTAAGGTACATGTACTTTACCGAATAGCAATATAGTTTATCAAAGTAATACATGAAAACTTTATTTTATTGGTTTGAAAGTGTTACCAATCGATTTATTATATCAAAATCTTCCAGACAACATGTTTTATAATTATAATATGATTATTATAACGATTATTTAGGAAAATAGATATATCGAGTGCTTTCCGGTCCTGTGAAGTTACATATACTTTACCGAATAGCAATTTAATTTCTCAAACAATCACATAAGATCTTTGTTTAATTGTATTGTAAATGTTACCAATCGATTTATTAGGTATGATACAGTATTATTTCATGTTTTATTCTAAATTCTATGATTATTTAAAAGATTTATGAATGTTAAATAAATTGAGAATGCTTTCCGGTTTTGTTAAGTATATGTACATTACCGAATAGCACTCGAATTTTCCATAAAAAAAACGTACAACCTTCATTGTATTGAATTGAAAACGTTACCAATAGATTTATTAGGAAAAAATCTCCCAGACATTATTTTTTTATAATTATTATTACGAATAAAAAAGTTTAAAATAGATATTAAAATAGATATATCGAGTGCTTTCCGGTCCTGCACATTCCATTATTGCTTTCCGGTCCTGTGAAGAAAATAATAGTAATACATCACCGAAAAGCACTGGTCCTCTTACCTCAGACATACCGATGGTATATAAATATTTAAAATGTATGTACCTTGTCTAATATATTAATATATTTATTAGTTGTAGGCTATGTGGAAGACAAGAGGATTCAAAAAAGCAGGAAGAGAAGAACAATAATTGTTTCAGTGATGTTTTTTTTATTTTTGACAATAAACAGTGCAATAAATAAAAATAAACGAAACTAATTACTAAGAATAAAATAAACAGATATAAAACAGAACTTAGCAAACATATATACATGCATAATTGAAAAATAAGTATGAAATTGAAATCAATCAAGGCACACTTCACGCCTCGTTTATTACACGGGCACACGCTGATAAAATTGAACGGACACACGCTGATTTAATTATCACATTTAAAGAGGTGTTAATATATTTACACAATAGCTGGATGTATTTAACTGATTGATTATTTGAGGTATTATTTATGATATTGAATATGTCATATGTCATCGGTATCTATTTGTTATAACAGCTGGCGGGTGAAAACGTGTTTTTTCGGATCTCTCAAAAATGGATTTAAAAAGTATTTAAATACACGTTTTTAATCAAAATTTTTGGATAAAATAAATTATGAATATAAGTGCTAATGTCAGAAGAGGATATTTGTTCAACCAGTTCGGAAATAAATGTAAAATTGAACGATAAAAAACGACCAGCGAATTCGCCATTGAATGACAACGTGGACGTGTGCACGGACTTTTACCATATTAGGGAAACCACATTCAACACAGTCGATACTAGCCTTGAGCGCGGACTAAATAAACAAGTGCAATGTAGGAAGAAAAAACGTGCTAAAGTAAACAGAACTAACACATCAATGACATCGCCTTTTACACAACACACAGGTATGTCTTTTAGCCAACCAGGCTCTATGAGCCCTTACCCTATGTCCCAACCAGCCTTTATTCAGAGCAATTCACCGCCATTTGGATTTTCCTCTATGCCGCCGATGCCCACCCCTATTTGGGCGACAGAGATTTTAGAAGAAGTTAAACAATTAAAAGTAAAACTGAAAAATATGGATTTTATTGAAAATACTGTGAAAGAAATAAACACAAAAATGAGTAAAATGGAGAATAAATTTAAATCACTAGAGTCACGTGTTACGGAAACGGAAAATGCGTGCGCGTTTAAATCCAGTGCGTATGAATCTGCTAAGGAGGATATCAAAAACTCGTGTAATGAAATAAAAAAGCTACGAAAAAAATGTGATTTGTTGGATTCTAGTGCACAAAAACTTAAAGAGGAAAGAGAAAAACTGGAATGTAGATTCGATGATATGGATGCTAGATCTATGAAAGTGAATTTACTATACTACGGTCTCGCAGAAAACGAACATGAGGACTGCGGCGCTATTATAAAAACAGTATGTACCGATACACTGGACATGCCGGACGCTAATACTCACTTGTTTGAAAGTGTAAGACGAGTTGGACCAAAACGAGGTAGCAAACCACGGCCAATTTTAGTCACATACCGTTATTTCTCTGAACGTGAAGCTGTTCGTCTGCGATCTTACGATAAGTCGGGAGAGCTGAAAGCCAAAGGATGGGGTATCGGAATCCAGTTGCCGAAAGCAATTCGTGAAGCGAGGAAATCACTTTACGGTCCTATGAATGATGCTAAAAAAGCAGGTAAACCCGTCAAATTCGTGGGAAAGCAGCTATTCATTGATGGTCAGTTGTACAGACCTGGTAATTCAGATAGTGCTACAAGTGATTAGGGTTGTCAGGAAGAGTTAACATTAAGTGTTCTCTCATGGAATGTCAATGGTTTAGTGCGGAAACTTATAGATACAGATTTTTTGGATTATATAAATACTTTAGCTTAGTTCTAATCAGCGAAACTTGGACTTCTGCCAAAAATGCATTTGACATTGACATTCAAGGTTATAAAAGTGTACACTTATATGGAAATAAACAGAAAAACATATCTAAAGGTAGATTCAGTGGAGGTTTATCAGTTTATATTAAGGACAAGTATAAACGTTTTATTACTATTATTGAACAAAATCAAAAAGGTTTAATTTGGTTGAAAATTTTTCTGATTTGTTTGTTGATGGAGATGATATTTATATTTGTTTTACATATTTTCCTCCAAGTGACTCTAAGGTTTTTAAAGCCTCTGATTTTTGACTTTTTTGATCAAATTGAAACTGATATTTTGAAGTATAATAACTTAGGTAAAGTTTTCATTACTGGGGACCTAAATAGTAGTCTCAAATGCAGAAGATTTCATTGTTTTTTGACAAATATTTAGATGAAAACTTAGATTTATTAAATACAAACGTCTCTATTCCACCTCGAGTGAATAAAGATACAGTAATTGATCACAACGGTAGACGACTTATAGAACTATGTCAATCTACTGGGTTACTAATTGCAAATGGTCGTTTAAATAATGAACCCGGAAATTTTACTTTTTGTTCTCACCGCGGTTTAAGCACGGTAGATTATTTATTATTAAATTTTTCAGACTTTGAAATTGTTTCTCAGTTCATTATTTCAGAATTTAATCAACACTCAGATCATGCGCCGATCGAGTTTAAATTTTCGCTACGCTTAGCAGACGACAACGTTAGCACGTGCACGAATTCACCGGTTAACCCAGCTCCCACGACTTCTAAAATAGTATGGGATGATAAAAAAGTACATCTTTTTTCGTGCACAGCTCACTATTAAACAAGAATTCATTTAATCACATTATCGAACGCGCATCTCACGCACCAATTGATGACGTGGTAAACGATTTTACGACATTAATGTCTGAAAGTGCACATTCAGTCTTCGGTAAAATCTTACACAAAAACATGTAACCATAAACACAAGGAAAACCAGCAAAGATTGGTTTAACGCTAACTGCGCTACCGCAAAAAATGAGTTTAAACGCGCACGTAATAATTTTAATCGTAATAAAATAAATGAAAACAGGTATTGTTCACGCGTGCTAGGACTAAGTATAATAAAGTGAAAAAAGAAAGCATACAATATATACAAAATTCGACAGGGCCAGAAAGTTAGCAATTTAGCTAAATCTCAACCTAGACAGTTTTGGAAAAAGATTCGAAAATCTTTTTAAAAAGGCACCACTAAAGGCCGATAATCTTAATATCGATAGTTTGTTTAACCATTTTAAAGCATGTTTGGTGAGGAACCGCCGAGTAGTGAAAATGACGATTATATTCCGCAGAACGACCAAACCGACGCTGACCTAGATATTTATTTTACAGAACAAGAACTTAGATCCGCAGTTTTCCACCAAAACAATAATAAAATGCCGGGTTAGACAATCTTCCAAGTGAATTGTTTAAGTCGAGCTATGATTTAATTTCACCTCTTTTGTTGAAAATATATAATAGAATATTTAACAGTGGTGAATATCCTAATTCTTGGGGTTTAGGAATAATTACTCCTATCTTTAAAAAAGGGGACATAAATGATGCTAAGAATTATCGAGGCATTTGTCTTATTAATGTACTTGCAAAAATTTACTCTCAGTTGCTTTTAAATAGATTAACTCAATGGTCCAACAAATACGATACGCTTGACAAAAATCAATTCGGGTTCCAAAAGGGGAAGTCAATAATTGATTGTATTTTTGTCCTACATTCTGTATTAAGTAAAGTTTTAGACTTGGGTAAAAAACTTTATTGCTGTTTTGTTGATTATATGTTGTGTTTTGATAGAATTAATAGAAC